TGAAGAGATTGAGCTCTTCCAGATGAGGCTTTTATTATGCAATTCTTCATAGATATTTATGGAGGTCCAGACAATATCACCATCCCTTTGTGTAACTTACCCTATGCTTTCCCATTGCATCCTCCATTTTTTTGACTTACCACAGGACAAATCTGTTAAAGGAGACTGGGAGCACTAGCAGTGGTAACTGGTGTCCACTGGAGCTGGTGACTGACCGACAGGGCAGTCAAGAGCTAGTGTGGTGGCCAGTGTTGAACTGGGGGTCCCGGATATCCAGGTTCTGATCTCCGCTTGGCCATAAAGTTCACTGGGTGATTTTGGGCCAGGTAGTTCCCTCAGACTAACCTACCCCGCAGAGCTGCTGTTGTGAGGATAAAATGGAATACTGGAGAACTGTATCACCCATCATTCTTAAGTTCCTTGCAAGAGGAGAAAAAGGCAGAATATAAATGCAATGTAATAATAATAATAATACCAATTAACAGTAGGTTGCAGTAGGCAGATGTCCTAAATAGATGTTCCATCCTATTTCTTTGCAAAGGGCATAAGGATGCTTACAAAGCATTCCAAATACATCACAGCAACTGAACTGAAGCAGGGCTGGGTGCTGCCACATATGATCTCTGTGCTGGAAGAATCTCCACTGCCCCTGAAGCCAGTCTCCCAGGTAGACATACTTCTTGTATGAGATTTTGGCCTCTGAGCCCTGGAAATAGGAAAAGGAGAAATACAAAAGGAAACCCACAGTAAAATGTGACATTCCTTTATAAAAGAGTGCAATTTAGGGTGCAAAAAGAAAATATCCCCTATACACTATCAATATCTTGTTTACACTAATAAACAAAGCTCAAATTAGTAATTCTGCTCTTGGATGGGCAGAATGGTAGAATTTGTCAATTGTCATAAATTACTGTTTATAATTTCATATGCTCCACCCATACTCAGTTCAACCTCTTAATGCAGGCTATTTTGAAAGAAAGCTCAATGTGCTTTGAAAATTAGCTTAGGACCAGATTAACCGCTCTTGTTTTAGAAGAGTGCAAACACAGAATTCGCTTATTTAGATTTGGCAGAACCTACACTAGCCCCAGTGGAGATCTTCCTCATACGCTATTTTTTTGGACTCTGATATCATAGTATCCCCAAATATCTATCCCGTATCTGCAGGAACAGAGTACAGGGTGTGCTAATCTAGGATGGAGGAAGACACATGAACTGGGATTGCTAAACCAGCCTGTTTGTTTTAACTGAAACCTATACACTACATTCAACAGGTTTTACTCTCAGCTTAATGTAGGTAAAATTGTAATTTTAACAAAGAAAGGTTAGTATATGTGCAGTGATGTGACTCCTCCTAGCCTTTCCCACTCTTAAGTAAATCATTGATTTCCGTGTAAATGGAAGTTCGATCCTAATGCACATTTCCTTGAGAATATCGACAATCATATTATTACAGCAGACTCCTCAAACCTGGAGTCCTCTATGGCTGGCTGGGAGGGTAGTCCAAACTTTCTGAAGGGTATCAGTTTGGGGAAGGCTCACCTACAGTATGCACCACCTTTGTCCCATGTGGTGCTCCTAAAGTACTTTAGATTACAACTCCCAACATTCCTAATCCACTGCCCGTGTGGATTGGCGGTAGAAACACCAGGTTTACCCTGCGTCGAAGATGACCATATACACCCACTGGCACCAGGTATCAACGCCCGAACAAAGCATCTGATTTATTACGAAATCATGCACTGGTCCGGCGCGGTTTTCTTGAGAAGAAAGGTCTTTCCCAGTCCTACCTGGACCTACCAGAGAAAACACGGGAATCATTGATACGTAAAGCACGTGCAGTAGCGCCGCGCTACAGGACCCCACGAACAGAAACGAACCCTGCGACCAACACAGCGGAGTTCAACGTTCGGAAGGCTGGAGCGAGGCCACGACACGCCGCCCCAGAACGAGCGCCACGCGCTCCCTCGCCACGCCCCTTGCGCAGCTGACCCCGCCTACTCCTCTTCCCGCGGCTCTGCAGGCGCTGTTCTCTGATTATTATTTTTTTTCCAACTTCCAACCGCGCTCTGCCGCCCTCCCTTCTCCCGGCAAGCTTTGCGCAACGTTTCTCAGCCGACGCCGTTGCCAGGATGTCCGTACGGCGCGCGAGAGTGTGCTGCTGGGTTGCTAAGGGCCCTGCTAGGCGGGGAGCGGGGAGAAGGTTTTGGGAAGGCGCGCCCTGCAGGTGACTCGCGCTGCTTCTGCCCGCGACTCCCCCGCTGCTTTCCCGGCGTCTGGAATTGAGGGCGCCGCTCCAGAGAGTGCACAGCTCCCGCCTCCCTGGCGCCCGCGCTAAAGGCCCCTTCCACGAGAAGAGGCAGAGCAGCCCCTTCGGCCTCAAGGTTAGCTCTTGGAACGCACCCCGGAGCCTCAAGGGATGTGCCTGAGCGGCTAAGCTCGACCGGGAGTAAGTTTCTTCGGAAGCGCATCCTGTCAAGTTCCTCCTCCCCAGTAAAGTCGTTAGGCTTAGCTGGAATCCTCGACATACCTATTCGGGAGTCATCTCTGTCAAGCTTAGGGGGGTTTACATCTAGAATCAGACTGCAGGTCGGAAACGGAGATGGGGAACGGACGGTGAAGTGGCAGGCAGGTGCTGTTTCCCAGTTTCTCTGCAGTTGCTTACCCAAGACTATATTCTGTCTTGTCTGCTATATCCCTCTACAAGGTATGAGACCTGTAAGCGCTGAAAGTCAGATTTCTCCCCCTGTCTAACGACTGAAGACTTGATAGGGTAAGCCAGGATGATAACCTTGATGCGGGGGGATGGATACTTAGGCATTTAGAAGATCAGCCTCTAAGCAACCCTCCCCAACTGGATGCCCTCCAGATGTTTTGCATCTCTACTCCCCTTAACATTCCAATGGTCAGCAATCCTGGGAGATGCAGTGCAAAACATTCCCCATCAGATTGGGGAATGCTGCCAAATCAGTATCTCTAATTTACCTTGTAGATGAGTTCTGTCTGAAACTCTGGTTTCCCAGCATAGTTTTATTTACTTATTTAGTATGCTTGTTTATTTATTACCAACCTTGTTTCCTGCAAGGAAGTCAAGGCAACTTACATAATACTGTTTTTCATTTTATCCTTACAACAATCCTGTAAGGTAGGTTAGGCTGTGAGTCACTGCCAGGTCCAACGGCACGCCATAAGCTTCATGGCTGAGAAGGGCTTTTTCAGTTACAATCAACACCTTAAATTGGGCCTGGAAATGGACTGGGAAGCTATGAAGATGGTATGATGCTGCCATATTTTGGACTAACTGAAGTTTCCACACTGTTTTCAAGGGCATCCACACATGCAACAAATTGTAGTAATCCAACTGGTTACTAGGATTTGGATTAATGTAGCCAGGAGGTCACAATCCTTGTTGAGTTGTGGCTGGCATGCTGACTTAAGCTAATAAAACCTTTAAGGCTATGTTTCAAGTTGGTTTACAAATCCTGGCTTATTTGCAAGCACATAACCTTGGTTCATATGTCAGTGGAAAGTATGCTTAAACAAGCTGTATCCTGGCTTGTTTCACCAAAAGGAAAAAATGCACGAATGCAGTTAGTGTATAACTAGATATATTAAAGCAAGATTTTAAAGTGTTACATGTGAACCATGAAAGGACTTGACCTAAGTACCCACTGTTATGGACATAGAAACATGGGAAGCTGCCTTATACTACATCAGTCCATTGTTCCATCCATCCTAGTTTTGTGGACACTGATAGCATTTCTCCAGGATTTCAGACAGGAGTTTTTTCAGCCCTGTCTGAGAAAGCTAAGGATTGAACCTGGGACTTTCTATGTTCTACCACTGAACTACAGCTCCTTCATTAAGCTGCTTCTATCATGCTAGAGAAAGTCAAAAGCAGAAGAAGAAAAGGAAGAGCAAAGAAGAGATAGATTGACTCCATGAAGCCTTGAATATAAAATAGCTAAGCAGAACTTTTTGGATGGCACTCATTTATAGGATTGCCATAAGTTGAAGATGACTTGATGGTATAAAACAACATTGTAGCTAGGTTCATCTGTAAGCTCAGCTCACTGCATTCAAAAACTCTGCTATCTTTGCATTGGTCCCAACTGCATCCTGTAGATGTCACAGATGCTTTTCCAAACTCTGGTGGATCTTAATTCAAGAGTGCCATCCAGTGCAGCTGCCGGTAACCTGCCAAACTTGGACCATTATGGGAATCGAGTGGAAAGCAGAAGGAATGTGATCCTTTCACCCTGTAAAACATTTTGATGGATGCTATTGGCAGTTGAAATATTTTCTCCTCCTTGTTAGGAAGAACTGCTGAGGCAGAGTCAGGACTTCTCAGTAGACATCCCTGGCCACTGCAGTGTGCCTTCCTATGCTGGCTCTGAAAGTAGTTTTTCAAGATCAAGTCTAAGACTCCAGTATATCCCAGTCAATGCCAGCATTGGGATTATATCCTAAGAAGGACTAAAGTTTCTAGGACCAAATGCTAACTTTGATTAACCATTAGGCTTCTTAGAGCACAACCATAGCCAAATGCTTATGCTAAGAAAGGCAGCCAGTGGTAATTTCTGCAAAATAGTTTTTAATGATATGTGTGTGGTCACTGCTTACTGAGAGAAAAGTAAAGAAATAAAAGGAAGAGTTAATCTAGGAATTCCAGAATTATTGGTAACTCTTCTTTGTTCTATGGCTAATAATTATAGCATAAAACTGTACTATGTATTTTGTACTGATACTCTTACCACTAAGGACTAACAAAGCTTGGTCATGTTTCCAAACTGTATAAACTATATGTGAGGAGTTGTGCATATAGGTGGATGCTGAAAAAAAGTAATTGCATTGGCATATTTTTAAGTATGTCATTTGGTTTCTTCTAATAATTTTGGTATGCTTTGTATTGTATCGTGTAAATGCACAGGATATTTCACAAACAGTAAACAAGATCCTGAAAGGGCAGAACACTGTTAATTTGGTGTTTCTTTCTTAAGTTTTTTCCCCAAGATGTCACATTTTTCTAGTGAAGATGAAGCTCTTTTGCAGTCTATGCTTAGACAGTTACTGCAGAGTGTCAAAGAAAAAATCACAGGAGCACCTTCAGTAGAGTGTGCAGAAGAGATTCTTCTACACTTGGAAGAAACTGATGAAAATTTTCACAAGTAAGATTTTTAATTTATTTCAGTGTTCTTGAACCAGTTAAATGAATTTAATGATGATTGCTGATTTCTGAGGGGAAACTTTTGCAGTTGTTGATGGTAGCTGACAGCAATCTTTTTACTGCTTGTTGTCAGAAAGTTGCTGGCAATTCAACAAGTAGGTGATTTCAAATTGGTGATGCTACAATCATGTGATTAGCTTTTAAAATTTGTCCACCTAACCTTCTATACTTATGCATCATAAAACAACATAAAAAACAGTTCTTTTTAACATAAAGGAAAGGAATTGGGGTTTTCTCAGGTGTATGTGTAAGACATTGGAGACCTGGCATCAGGTGCATCTTAACTTTTGCCCTGTGTTTCATAATTTGTGATGTGCAACAGTAAGATTCTGTGCACTACTGACTTCTTTAAAAAGCATGATTTTTTTTCTTTTTTGCTGGAAGATCAGATATAATCAAATCAGAAATCAAATATTTAGTTTTTGTTTAGCTCTGAAAATCTACTCCCAACCTTTTAAAACTATTGCTCTTTCCTAAAGTCTTTACAAGTCATTGAAGATTTTAGTAATAGCCTGATGAAATATATTTTCAGTAATATTTAAAGCTGCTTGAAATATTAGGGTATAAAATAAGCTACATTTTAATTGTTGTTACAGTTATGAATTTGTGAAATACCTTAGACAATATATAAATAACACCCTGGGCTCTGTAATAGAAGAAGAAACTGATCGATGCACTTCAGCACAAAATCAAGGTGAAGGATCTGGCTATGATACACTTGTTCAGCATGTTACGAAGAAGACCCGAGAATCAAAGGAGTGAGTACATGGACAATACTTATTAAAGCTCATTTTCTGAAGAGAAGATTTGCTGAACTGTTCTTTCTTCAGTTCTGAATCTTATTCACTGATTTTAAAAGATAATATTGTAGTGGAAAACTGAGCAGAATTCCCCACTTCCATGGCTAACTGGGCTGAACTCCCACAGCCCTGAACCAGAGGCTGGATTCAGCACATGATAAACCCAAGCATTGTGGAAAATACAGCTTTATTAAAAGGATAAAATATAGGGGTGTATTTAAAAATACAGCTTAATGGATAAAATGGGTGGGGAGAAGGGAAAAAGGAATTTGGAGAGCAGCAACAGCAAGTTTATAGTCAACTATGTACCTCTTGTTGACCCACCCAGATATAAAATAAAAGCTCAGCCTAGCCTCAGCTATGTTGTTGTTGTTGTTGTTGTTGTTACACGCGAAGTCTCATCCAACCCATTGCGACAGCTATGTACTCTATACTGGTTTTAGGCACAGGCAGCAAAGGGTAGCACAGCATTCTTCTGCATGTAGTAATGGTGGCAAAAGCAGAACCTCTCCTTGAAGAGGAACCCCAAGCTTTTCTAGGGCGCGGGGTTTATTCCCTTCCAGCTGGGGTAAGCTGACCCATGAGGTGATGGTTGGTTATTGACTCCAGGTGTAATCCATTTGCTTGTAATTGCAGCTCTTTCCCATGTTCTTGGGGTGTAATTTGCGATATCCTTTCCATAACAAGAGCTAAGCCTTGCCTCCTGCAACCTTGGGTGCCAGCTCCCTGCTAGACTGGCACCTGGTTTTTCCAACTTTTTATCCCATATGTTCCTTAAAACTTCCCTGCCTCTCAGAGCTACTAGCCAGTTCATGTTACAATTCTTAACTTACTTACTGATAGTCTCTTTCTGAAATCTTGTTACTTTCATGAACGTTATTCTTTTGAAGAATCTATTTCACCTTTTTGGAATAATTCCTTGTTTAACATTTCAATGTTGTTTTCAAATATTTAAAGAAAACTGCTTTTAGTGCAGAACATAAAATTAATGTGGATTCTCAAACTCTAGTAAGTTGAGCATTTTGTATTCATATATATTGTAGCCTAAGTGTTCTTTCAGAATAACATGCTTTTGTTTTGTTCAAATGTGTACTTGATATTATTGGGAAAAAGACAGTGTCCCTGTTCATTAAACTATGTCCCTATCTGGACAGAGAGAACTTAGCAATGGTAATTCATGCTCTGCTAACCTTGGATTTGGACTAAGGTAATGCACTTTTCTTGGGGCTGCCATTAAAAATAGTCCAGAAACTTAAAACTGGTACACAATATGGCAGCTTTTCTGCTGACAGGGATGGGCAGACATATAAGCCCTGTTGAATTCCAGGCCCGCTTTAAGGTGCTCACAGTAAGACATAAAGCCCTAAACATCTTAGGGCCTGGATATCTCAAGGAATGTCTCCTCCCAGGTAGACCTACCCAGACATAGGTCATCTACAGAAGTTCTCCAGGAGCCATCTTTAAAAGAAGGAAGCACTAGATCAAAACCATTTCATTTTTCTGGTATTTTAATTTTTAAATACGATTACTTGATTTTACATTGGATTTTATTCATATTGTCATGGTATACTGTGGATTAGCTGTTATTTTTGTGTTATGCATTATTTATCATTTATGATGTTTGCATTTTGATGGTGTTCTTGATGTCTTATTGGCATCAAAGTTATTTATATTATTTTTATATGGTTTTTATCCTTGTTGCACACCATTCTTAGAGCTCTTTTGTGTAATGATCACTATATAAAAGCTTTAAATAAATAAATAAAAGTTCTGCAGTGAAACTCAACTCTGTTTTATTTTAAAGCAAGCACTACTTCAGTGGGGTTTTCTATAAAGCAGTAGTTCCCAACCTTTTCTATGCCCCACACCCCTAGAAAAATGATTTATGTTTGCACTCCCTATGAAAGTAATACCACATTTGAAGATGAGGAAGTCAAATTTCTACTTTTTGAACCAATAAACTGAAGCTCAATCCAGACAAGACGGAGGTCCTGTTGGTTGGCGGATCGGGCTTCGGGGAGGGTGAATTGGACCTAGTCCTGAATGGGGTTGCACTCCCTCTTAGGGACAAGGTCCGCAGCTTGGGAGTGCTCCTCGACCCAGAGCTTTCACTGGAAGCTCAGGTGACAGTGGTGGCGAGGAGCGCTTTCTTTCAGCTTCGGCTGATCCATCAGCTGCGCCCCTACCTGGAGAACGACTGCCTGGCGACAGTGACACGCGTTGGTGACTTCCCGACCTGACTTCTGTAATGTGCTCTACGTGGGGCTACGCTTGAAGACGGTCCGGATACTTCAATTGGTTCAAAATAGAGCTGCCAGGCTGCTGACGGGGACTGGGCGTTATGTTCACATGACTCCAGTTCTCTGTCAGCTTCACTGGCTTCCCATTGAAGTCTGGGCCCAATTCAAGGTGTTGGTTATGACCTATAAAGCCCTTAACGGCTTGGGTCCTGGTTACCTGAAGGAGCACTTGCGTCCATATATGCCCGCCCACCCCTTGAGATCTGCGGGAGAGGCCCTTCTCCAGGAACCCTCCGTGAAGGAAATTAGGAGGGTGAGTACTTGGAGGAGGGCTTTCTCTGCGGTGGTGCCCAGTCTATGGAATGTGCTCCCCAGAGAGGTCTGCCTGGCACCGTCGTTATTTGTTTTTCGTGCCAGGTGAAGACCTTTTTATTCAAATGTTATTTTAATTGTTAATATTATTTATTCATTTTATTCTTTGGCCAGGGTGACTTAATTTATATTGTTAATTTATAATGTTAATTTATATTCTATTTTGATGTTTATTTATGGTTGTGAGCCGCCCCGAGGCTTCGGCGAATGGGGCGGCATAGAAGTCTCCTAAACAAATAAATAAAAATAAATTGTTTCACATACAAATTGTGGATGAACAAATTGAACTCAAAAAATAAACTTTTAACTCAGTGAATAAAATTCAAATATAAATTGATCCATTAGAAAAAATTAAACCGTAAAATCAGTCCCAGTTATGAACATAAAATTCAGTTTTTACTTCTTATTCACAATTTTGTCAAAACATGGAACTTCCTTGCTGATTTTGATCTGTAAATCTGCCTGTGGATTCAGGCAATCCTTAGATTTTTTCTTGATTGACAAAAGATGACTGAATCCAAATGCAAACAACATAATTTTATTATTGGGATAAGCTTTGATGAAAAAGCATTGCAATTTGCCAATTTTGGTGAATTGCGCCACTGCCTTCCTCTTTGACGCACCCCCTGAAATGCCAGTGGCTACCCCAGGTTGGGAACATCTGCTGTAAAGTAAGAATGTGTAGGATTGCAGCCAAAACTTTGCAGCATGGACAGGATAGAAGATGCAGAGAAAGAATTACATTTTGTTTGAAAAAGAATTCAGGTGAATTAGAACAGCGAGGGAGCTGTATCCCATTTATGCGCAAAATATCAGTCATATTTCAGAAATGCTTCCCTGAAAAAAGCTATGTATTAAATCGGTGTAATGATTTGCAAGGCTTCCTAAAAATGGCTTTCTAGTATGGTTCTTCTGCTTCATGCATTAATTTTAATTTCTGCATCTCTGTTTTATAAAAATCGTAAGCCATTTCATTGTAGAATACTTTGTTTTAACAAATTAGGTATGCACAAATGTATTTGAAAGATATTATTTATGCAATATTTATATATCTTTTCTTAAGAAGGGACTTGAAGGGATTGCAGTCTGTTTTCTGACCCAGAGTCCTACAGGTGTTGCCACCAAGAGAAAGAGTTCTGCTAAAAGAGATTTTCTTCCTTCAGTGTAGTTTTCATGACATCACCAAGGAGATAAGGGGGGAAAGTCCGTCCTTGACATCGCTTTAATTGGAATTAATACACACTGGTATATTTGTCCATATAGACAAGAGTCTTTTTATTAGGGTTTATGTTCTGTGCTTGTTTGAAATATCTAGCAATAATAGCAAAATCAGAGCTCCATTATAAGAGGTTATCAGCTGATAATGTAAAGAAAATAAATGTGTTCAATAAATGCTAGTTAGGAAATGTTACTGTGAGCGCAGATAACTATAGGTTTGTACCAAACGCAGTGTTATTGGAAAAGGTGGATCACTGTTAATAAAATCAAATAGATAACCTTCAGGCAGTTGGAACATGTAAGATGGTGCAGATCTACCAAGGGCAAAAGGGACCCCTTGTAGGAATTTCAGTGAACCTCTAATGATGAGATCAATCTAAGGAACGTTTTAATAGTAATTTCAGTGATATGTGGAGAGCCTTGTTCTGCAAGAGGAAATTAGAAATGTCATTGTGAAAAACTTTGTTACTTAATCAGTGCTTAATTGCTTTTATAAATTAATGTGTGGGCTGCTGTATTTTTAATAAGCCATTTATTTACATTTAGGAACTGCATGTCAGTTTTGAGCTAATCACACAAGGTTCTTTTTTCATGGGGGAAGCAATTTATTAGAAAGCAAAGATAAATCCAACCTTCTTGCCTTTTAACATTTGTGCCTGTGGGGTGTCTTTGTTTACAAAATGCCCCTAAACATTGATTAGGATTGTGAAACTTCCTGGGTTTTTTTTAGCAGCTTTTAAGGGCCTGCCCTATCTAGCTTAAAAATTTTCATTGTGCACATTGACTAAAAAGATGAAATAGATAAATGAGTATACATGTATACCTTTCTTACCAGTACATTCTGGAAACTGATCTTAAAAGGCATTTCAGATGTTCTAGTCATGGAGTGAAGGCTTAAAATATGTAGAATATTATGTCTGCAGCCTTTTATTTTTTTTAAACCATGGGTCCTCAAACTATGGCCCACGGGACAGATCCTGCCCGACATGCCCATTTATCCGCCTGCGCCACTGCCCGTGTACGCGCACGCCGCTGACGTGCAGTGCGGGCGGGAGGTGGTGGCTTGATCACTCGGAGATGATTTTGGACTCATTGGGAGATCTCCCAAGCGAGCAACCCGCCGCCGTCGCCCGCCTTCCCTGCGCACGCACGCTGGCATGGGTGGGGAGGTGGTGGCTTCCTTGCTTGGAGATCTCCAAGCAAGCGAGCTGCTGCGGCACATGCCCAACACTGTGGTGGTGTGTGCTCCCGACGATGCCTCACCGGTCTGCGCGCCCAGCCCCCCCCCCCCGCCCGACCCATGCTGGGTCGCCACCGCCTTTCAACTGGCCCCCTGTTGAAAGAGTTTGAGGGCCCCTGTTTTAAACCCATGGAATTTGCTTCAGCAGAAATGACCAGAATGACTATTTCTATTTGCATTATTCCTTAGTACTGATACTACTTTTGTTGCTTTTAGTCTGTAACAACTGTATTTATCCTGATTTGTATCTCAATGTACTGCAATTTGCTAGAGCAATCCCTTCTTCTCTTGTTACAATGCCCCATCTAGGGATCCTTGGGCACATAGTTTATTGGGGAGAGGGTATGCTGTTACCTCATGAAATGGGATCAAGAGTTCTGTTTTTTCATGTTCAGTTGAACAACTGGCATCCATGGATTTAACATCCTTGCAATTGTTTCAGAAGTCTGTATGTATGGAGAAAAGAGCAGTACTAGAACTTGAAGGGATTAACTAAACAAACCAGACTGCTCAAATATAAGGAAAGCACAGACATCTGTATAAGTACAAAACCTAAAAAGGCTCCTTATGTCATTTCTGAATACCTTGTTTGAAATATTTAAATTTTCTGTTTCTATTCTAAGAAAGGTTAGAATCCAAAAAAGGAGGGAGGTTAAAGAAATGCATGCAATTTATACTGTAGACATAATCTACCCCTTTCCCAGCTTCACTTCAGAAATAATTTCTGTTGACAGCACAGGGTGAAATAGGCTGTCATCTTATACATGCTTACCTGAGAGTTAGTTGCACTGGACTCTCACTGGCTTATTTCACAGTTAACATCTGTGGGTTTGCACTGTTCTTTCTTAGTAACAGCACATTCCTAGGCAGAGCTAAGTCCAAATGACTTCAGTGGGATTTGCTTCCAAGTTAGTCTGCCGGTAAGTGTAGGATGTCAGCCTCTGCATAATGCAATCTATCAATTTAAATGTATCTGTTTTGTTTTGTTTTTCTCCTCCTATCTGAAGGTATAGAGAAATGATGCATTCTCTGAAGAATGTCATAATGGTTGTGGTGGAATCTTTGATTAACAAGTTTGAAGAAGATCAGATGCGCTATAAGGAGATGCAAAGAAAAGTGAGAACTGAACAGCATAGCAGTTACTATGCAGATAATTGTTCTGATAGTGATTCTTCCTTTAATCAGGTATGAAATTAAACTGGGATATATGTTGCTGTAGGAGAAATTGTTCACACCCATGCAGCAATCTTTAAGCTATGAGTTCTAAATACTCTCATACAGGAGTTAATGTAGAGCCCAAGACAAAGATCCAAATAAAAAACAAATTCCTTTGATTTCATTTTGGTTTTCCCAAAACCAAACCCACTGTTCAGTACTGATGAAACTAGTGAAAAATTGTTTTGTCAGACATGAGGCTGTATTTTCCTTAAACTGCTATTTAAAAATCACTGTGTTCCATTTAGATCAAGGACTGATGAAACTAGTGAAAAATTGTTTTGTCAGACATGAGGCTGTATTTTCCTTAAACTGCTATTTAAAAATCACTGTGTTCCATTTAGATCAAGGACTAAAGACCTGTTGGCGTTTATGGCTCTGGATTGTCTGAAGTGAAAGCTAGAATATGTACAGTTTTACCTGAGGGCACAGTCATGTACAAAAACATTCCCATCCATTTGTCAGTTAGGCTGTTGACATACTCTACTATTGAGTTTCTTTAGGCTGTTTCTCTCTATTATTTGTTTCATCTGAGGATTATAACACCCCATGCAAATCTTGGGATTCTCCTGAATCTGCTAATATTTTCCATATTTAATATGTGGATTAGTCTTTTGGCTATATTCACATGTGTATATGAAAACAAATTGGTATTAGAGAAATGAAAATTATTCCAAACTTTTACTTACCTTTCTGTTTTACCAAGTATTATGACAGACCACTTTATCCAGTTTTTTAAATAATTAAGTAGAGGTATTTTTTCTTTTTAGATTTGATAATTAAAACACACATTCTTTTAATATTTCAGTAAGATAATATGAATCCCATAAGTAAATTTCATATCTTTAATGGCTAATTACCATAGCTATTAAATTTTCATTCTAATAGGATTTACTTAATGAGCATTTTACAATGTGTTGCAGAGTTACACATTCATGAATCAAGAACAGTTACAGCTACTTGTAGAAAGGCTTGATCCTGCACAGCCTAAGGAGGTGAGTCTGAAAAACAAGCATTTTTGGATAAAATCATTCTCCTTCCCTCTCCTAATTTTTGTTTTGACACACTTTAAGCTCAAGTTGTATGGGTTAACTGTCTTTCACTCTGGTGGGGCTATTCTTATAGTTCTCTTGTTCTCATCCTGGTTTCAAAGAAGTTAAAGTACTAGTTTCCCAGCTTACCAATGTTGAAATCAAACATGCAAGAGTAAAGGAGCATAAAGGCTCACAACTTGTTCTGTTGATGATAAAACATGCTTTTTTTATTATTATGTCGAAAGCCAGACCTTGAAATTTGGTCTGTATTTGTTTAGATTCTATAAAATATGCTCAACCTCCTTGATAGTCAACAGGTTCAGATACCACCCAGAATTTTTTGTTTTGAATGTTGTAATGTGCTGCCATACTTAGTAACTAGATTTGAATTTAACTAAGTCTTCTTTATAGTCCCCAGAACCAACCTATTATACTGTTTTCTTTTGTTTAAAAAAAAAAAACTTTCCCAGGTCAGGTTTCTGAGGCCACAAGCATTTTGTATCTTGAATCCTATGTGTCCTGAAGTTCAGGGTAGCTGTTATTTCATTTTTGCTTGGACATCCAGTGATATTTCCAAGCATAAAAATCCTGGATGTGCACACTTTTATCGTGTGTAATCTATAGAGTCTTATAATGGTGGTGGGTTGAGATCTTATGCCTCTTTCTTTGCCATAGAAAAAAAATCAAGGAAAACAAAAGTTGAAATTGCAGTACAATTACTTCTTTATTTTTAGTACTGAGAGTACTTTGTTTGAAAGCACTTCTAGAGGACTGATTGGTTACTAATGTTACTTCATACTCTCTCCTAGCAAGAGTGTTCACTCCACTCTCGTCCCTGTCCCACATTTCCAGGACCAGAGTTTTCCTCTTGCACCATTTGGTTTTCTTATTTGCCCAGAGAGATCTGTTTGCCTTGTCTACGTATCCCTTCGTAATGCAATTTTTGTATTCAGAACCAGGGCATACATATTACAGGAATGTGGTTCGACCTGTGATGCTGTGTAATTTGCTTGCAACTTCTGTGCAAGACCCAAGGTCTTAAGTCAGGCATAACTGTTTTAAAATCTTACTGAAGATTCTAAGAAGCAGCTACATCTCCAAGGCTGTCCAAGTTCTATTTTGAAACAAATTGTGAAAAATTAGAACAATTCTGGAGGTCCTTAATAATAGCTCTGTCCCCAATTTCTTAAGCTGTATTTAATCTCCTAACTTTCCAATTTATCAGTTTCCACCCTTGTGGCCTGCTGTTGTCATCAGCACACAAGCTTCCAGATTACATAGATGTCCAGTCCCCTGCCTTGCCCTTTTTACGGCGCGTACTTGTTTTCTCTTGTGCTGGGAAGCAATCTAATATTGCATTTAACTTTTGGGAGGGGAACAATGCCACAAATAGGGATGACAGAAACAGTAAGGCAACATGTATGTGAAGTGGAGATAGAAGAAGGCAAAGAGGTGAAGTGGTGTGCATAGGCAATTAGTAGTGGGCATAGACATGGGTGAAGTTGGAGGCTAGTATCTTGGAAGGTGAGACCTAAGGTAGCATGGAGTCAGAAAGAAGAACGGTGGGATTAGGAGTGTGCAAGAGAGAGAGTCATTTCCTGATCCATTTAATAGTAGGGATGGAGTGACAGATGATGCCATCCAAATAAATGAGGAGACTGAGTGGGTAAGGGCAGTGGTGAATACCCTTATAGCAAGGTGTGATTCTGTTTTGCCTAAAGAATGTGGTAGTAGACCTTTATTGGACCTTATAAGTGGACCTTTATTTAAAGCAAAAAAACAAAAACTTCTCCCAATCCCCTGTGTTAGATAATTTCAAGCCAGTCTCCAACATTCCATACTTGTGCAAAGATGCTAAAGCATCTGATGACCTCTGAACTCCAAGGATTTCTGGCTATGATGGAGTATTTTGGTCCATTTCAGTCTGGCTTCTGGCCTGATAATGGGATAGAGATCGCTTTGGTTGCCTTGGTGAACAGTCTGCACTGGCAAATGGGCAGGGGGAATGTGTTGCTGTTAATTCTGCTGGCTCTGTCATCAGCTTTTGATCATATTAACCATGGTATCCTTCTGCCTGAGATAGGATTAAATGGAACTGTTATATTGTAACTCTGATCCTTCTTGGAGCCTTAATCTCAGAAGATGGTACTAGGGGGGGATTCCTTATCCCCCATGTTATTTAATATGTATATGAGTTTGCAAGAAGACATTCCTGGTGTTTTGGGGTTTAGTGCCACCAGGATGCTGATGGCATCTAATTCTCTCTCTCATTTCCATTCAAATCTAGGGAAGCTATTTTGGTTCTAAATTAGTGCCTGACATTGTTAATGGACTAGATGAGGACAAACACTGAAGCTCAATCTAGATAAGACAGAAGGACTCTTGATCAGTTGAAAATCAAATAAGGAAAAGGGGATTCAATGAGTCCTGAATGGAGTTACATTCCCCAGAAGACTAATAATCAAGGTTTTGATGTACATTGGACTCAGTCCTGAGCCTGGAAACCCAAGTCTCAGCAGTGATCATAAGTGTGTTCACACAGCTAAGGCTAGTGTGCCAACTCTTCCTGTTTCTCGAAAAGCATGATCTGACTACTGGCACACCTGCTTTAGTTAAGTCCTGTTTGTATTGCTGTAACACATGGGGCTGCCTTTAACAGCTGTTGGAAATTTCAGCTGGTCCAGAATGTTGACCAGCGTGCTGACCAGGGATAGTTCCAGGGAGCACCTTAATTTTTTTGTTGCAGGAGTTTTACTGATGCTGATCTCTTTCTTGGCAGAATCTAGAGCGCTGATTTTCACTCACAATATCCTGTGTGGCTTTGGACCAGACTACTTGTAAGACCACCTTTTCCCATATGAGTTTGCCCAGTCCTTAAGATCTTTTGGAGAGGCCCCCCTTTTGTGCCATGAGAGGCACATTTGGTGGCAGTGCATGAGAATGCCATTTCAGTGGTTGCTTCCAGTCTGTTGAGCTTCCTCCCAAGGGAAGCTAGGTCCGCACTCTCCTTACTGACCTTTCTATGGCAGAAAGGATCATTTTATTCAAGAAGACCTTTGGCCTTTTAGTGAGTCTTTGGATTGGGTTCTGTCTCTATTGTATGTTACGCTTTTATTGTAATGTGTTTTAACATTTTAATCTATTTTAAATTGTTTTGTGAGCTACCTTGAGTGCCACTTTTTGTGAGAAAAGTGATGTCTAAATCAATCAATACTTCTCAACTATAGCTTTTGCTGTAGGCTTCTAACATACTTTATAATGATAATAGACTTTTTTCACCCTTATCTCATCCTTAATTGCAGGTGCGCCAGGAAGCCATGCAGACACTGTGTTCTGCCCCTCCATCTGATATCTTAAACTGTGAGAGCTGGACCAATTTACATAAACATCTTGCAACAGCACTCTCAGATCCCGATTCCAATTTCAGTGTAAGCATTCATAAAATTATGTAATTGAAATTTTATTTTTTTTCTAGAGGAACACATTCTTATGGACACTTACAGGTCTGCAGGCTGTGACATACAACATGAAATGAAGATAAGCAGATTGGTTTGTTCATGAAACCCATGATTTTTGACAGGGATATATATATTCATGACTGCATATGTTCCTGTCAAAAACCTGAATAGCCCTCTCAAGAAATCCCTTTTAAATGGAACTGGAGTTTTAACAGCTAGCTATCAAAGTACAAGGGCTGGCTTGTATCTTTCTACTTTCTCAAGTATTTGGAGTCTTTGGAAAGGGTGGAAACCTGCAAGGAACCTGATAAGGCAGGTTCAAAAAGAACCCTAAGAGGATCTTGCCATGAACAGGTTGATTAACTGGCCACCCCTTCCCATGAACAAAGATCACTTGTGGCTTTGGATGCTCTTCATTGTTCATCTTTTAAATGCTGTCAAGAGGAGGCAATCTGAAAAATAGAACTTTTACATTTGCTCAGGGTCAGAGCCTACATGGGGTGCCTGATGCATTTTGACAACAGACTAGACATTGTCCAGGTGAAGTTTGCTATCTCACAGTCATGGAAGTGCACATCTGTGCACTTGTGTAAATGGAGCTAAAGGAAAAATATTAAAATGTACGGAAATTTTTCATAAATTTATTGTGCTAAAAATGGGGGATGGTGAGGCTGTGATAACCCCTTCCTTGTACTGTTTTGATACTTTGAAGGGCCTGTCACCAGCTCTCAACTTGGAAATCATGAAACGTGATTTTGAGGGGGGTAGATTGGGGATTAAAAAGTTGCTTCATGTGCGAAGAACCTGTTAATTACTGTAGGCAGCACCAAGTCAGTTACAGCTGTTCCACATCACCACTTGGGCTGAGGCTAGGTTGGCAAGAGTGGCAAATAGTTGCCCATTCCTACTGAATGAGCCACTAGGTGATTTGTGCAACCCATGACAGGGTTGTTCTCCTGTGTTTGGTTGAAATGATAAGCCATCATGGTCTATCAGCCTTTAGAACAATCCATCACTTCTTGGGGTGGCTTCTTGCAGTCACTCAAAATGGGTTCTTGTATCATGTGAGTCCAGTCTTAATGTCTTGTGTTACATTTATTGTAAGGGTGTTATCATTGAAGTAGGATGGGTATGGGACAATCCCTTTGACTTTTAAGATGGTGAGAGATTCCTTGGCAGATTGTCACTCTTCAAAGGCAATCTCTGGGATTGATGGAGAAGTTTCATTACTATATTTGGGTGTAGCCTGTTTACAGCCATCAGTATGTGTGTGTGCACACACACATATGGATTCATGTGCTTTATCTGTAAATCCATGCTATGTTGTACTGGTAGAATAATGTTCAGCCATTGTATAATAATCTGTTTAGAATAGGAATCTGGGGACTGTATTGGAATCTAGTGCAGCCTACTTTAAGCTGGTGCTGTTTATATATTTTGGATTGTAACTACATAATTTTTTACCATTGGCTCTGCTAGCTGGTACTGATGGGAATTATAGTCCAAAACATCAGGAGAGTACTAGGTTGAAGAAGACTGATCTAGCATGGCAGCAGAATCTGTTCTGGTGGAGTAATGAGTTTCTGGTGGAGTAATGAGACTAGAACTGGGGGGACACAGGTTCAAATCCTCTCTCAAATATAAAATTCTTTGACTGACTTCTCAGCCTTAAATGGATAATCTTGTTATTTATAATTTGGTTAGCTTCATATAAACGAGATTACATGAATCTAATAAGCTTGCTTTAATACTTAATTTTACAGGACAAAGTTTTGAAATTTTATGCCAAAACATTTTCTTCCTCTCCACTAAATATGACAAAGGAACTCTATACAAGTTTAGGTAAGTTCATTGAGTTCATTAAGGCTGCAATTTTATATACCTTTAATGGGAGTAATTTTCATTGATTTCACTGAAGTTAACTTCAGAGTAAACATGCAGTGCACACCATACTGACAACCTTTATTTGCTTTCTGATGCAAACAACTGCTATTTTAATTTGCCTCTTAGATTAATTGGCAATTGTTTTTACTTTTCAGCAAACTACTTAGAGCTCTACTTTCTTTCTGAAAATAATTATGTTCCTACCTTATCAACGGGCATTGACATAACTAACCCAGATGTAATTCGTTTACTTAAAAAGGTACTGATCAAGTTTTCCATAGCTTTTTTTCTGATTTAAGATGTTATCTATTGTCTTTTTTAAAGTGCAACTGTCTTACTTTTATTCATAGATACGTCTGTTAAATGATTACCAAAGGGAAGTCCCATCTTTTTGGATTCGTCATCCAGAAAAGTATGTTACGGTCCTGCATTTATTCTGTTTTAATTTTCTTCTTTTGACCTCATTTAGATTGAATAAATACTAAATAATATGTTAGACATTTGTCTTTAGTGGTAGTGAATATTTACTCCAGCTCTTTTCCAATGCAGCCAGTCATGTTCCAATGTGAGGCTTAGGGAAATGCAATGGAATAAGGTTCCTTATTTTCATAAACTCAGTTAACTGGCCTCTTTTGTGCCCTTAACCTATACTAGTGATTGCCTGTTAGCTAGTGGTTTAATGATAGGGTCTGTATAGGGGGTGCTTTTCTGTCCTGTCTTGTGTTTGGTGATTTAAGCTGCAATTCTGTGAATGCTTACGTGGAATAAGTCCTGTAGAATGGGGCTTTTTTGAATAGATTTATATGGGATTGTACTGTCAGAAACACAGCCACTTTTCACTTTGATGTGGTCTTGGTTACATTTAAGGATGAACGTTATTGCATTCTTCCTAATCTAAATTCTTCTTGCAGTTTAAATTCCACAATATATTCACACTTTCCCAGTAGACATTCACAATATTGCCATTCTGCATGTTGTACATTTCTTAATCCTCTTCTGAAGGTGACTTTCATTTGGAGGTGTACAGAATAAAATAATACCTGCAGTTTGCAGACTTTAAAACGCACATTACTCATAGTAAAGTAGGAAAAGTTAAAATGCACTTTCTTTTTCTTTTTATCCTTTTTAAATGATAGAAAGTTTTGGCAGTAGTACCAATGCTGATTTTATGTAATAGCTTTTTATTTAGAACATGTTCTTAGTCTTTATTGTTTAAATTGTTGTACAACACTATGATGGCTTTTAGCAAATAAAGCAGTGTATAAATGCTATTAATAATAAACATATTTAGGTACATGGAAGAAATAATGGAGAGTACCCTATCACTTCTGTCACTAAAGCATGAATTAAGCCATGTTGTGTCTACAGAATATTTGGATCCAGTATGCTTCTTGGCTTTGGTTGATATTAAAGCTGTGTGGTTTAAAAAATGGATGGTAAGAAAACATATAATTTTTATTTATCTCTATTTGTTTTGTTCACCCTTGAGGGTTATTCTTTTGCTGATAATGCTTTGCACTAATAATCATTTTAGGCCTCCATTTTTTAAGAGTTAGAGGGTAAAATGATCTAATGGAATAAAGAGATGAGGTCTATGTTAGTAGAAAAAATGTGTGTGCTTTTATTCCAGATGTAACTCTATACATTGGGCCCTTTCTGAGCCAATATCGACCTTTCTTGGATTTGATTTTTAATTTATACACATGCCTTCAGAGAACTTCAGAGAACTCTGAAAAAGAATCTGGCAGCATAAAATTAGGATAACCGTTACAATTTCTAAAAAATGTTTAAAGTTCTAGCTATATTCTTTCATATTATTGATACTATGGGGAAAATAATTCACTGTATGTGTTTTGTCATGCTATGATAGGAGGTGCAGACATCTTTGCATTTTCCAGGCAATCAAAATCCCAGGGATTTTATGTTTGCACTAAGATCTAGTGCATCCACAGGTATAGCCATTGGAGAATATTTCTGTTGCAAAAAGATTTATTTTTCAATTCAATTCAAAAGGTTTATTGTACGAGGCAAAGGCCATGACAAATACATCAAGTGAATATGCATACACAACAAAATGAAGAATTTCAGCTGTATAAATAAATAAAAATATATTATGAACAGAAATTCATCTTTAACTACGAATTGCCAATGCAGTTTATGGCAATTTTGTCTAATTCTGTCTTTCAGATCTTTTTTTGCTCCCAAAGCAAGATAAGCAACTTTATGTGTCACATAACTATTACTGTCACTTAAAACAAAAAGAACTGTTTTTGCCAAGACTTTCCTGTATCCATATGATAGCAAGGGTTTCAGGAATCTCTCTCTGGGAGCAATATATAGAGGACAGATTAAAATGTAATGAATGATGCCTTCAACTTGATATAAACCACAAACACATAATCTGCCTTCAAGAGGCACCTTGTTATATCACTCATCCAAAACTGTAGTTGGCATAACTTGAAATGCAATCTAATGAAGGCATTTCTTAAAGAGGATGGTCTCAGTCTGGACAATACCTAGCTCTATAATGTTCTGTTTTCAAAAGAGGAAACCACTGAAAGAATTTGGATTTTTAATTAATTGTAGGTCTTTTCTAGGGTCTATCCAAAATAACCAGTCCCTAAATTGTCGCTTACCCAGAATAAAGATGGTATTCAGATCAGAAATATAATGACCATGTGCCAAATTATGAAGCCTTGCTTTCCAGATATGGTTTTCACTCATTTCCATCACAAAGCTAGAAAATGTTCATTAGGGAAAAGAGAAATTCATTTAAAGTACCGCAGTTGAGCACAGTCTATTCTTGTCCTGATTGATGTCTATCCTGATCCTGTCCACAAGAAAGCTGAATGGGTTGTGAGTTTGTGAAAGAAATTGTTCTATTTTCAAAACAGTTATGGTAGCACTGTCAGTCCCCCAGATTTTAGCCCCATAAAAAATGTGCAATCACTTTACTATAATAAACTTTCAGGGTAGATTCAATCATTTGCCCACCTTTGTTGTATTAAAACTTCATAAATGCTGCAATGGTTTTCTGTGCCTTCAGTTTTACTGCCATCCTGTAATTTTTTTATGAGAGCAACTTGTTAAAAAGCATCCTCAAATATCCAAATGAGCGAGCTTGTTCAATAACATGTTGGTCCAGACACCATCTATACTGAGATCTATGACTAGCAGAAACCATGGTCTTTGTCTTAGAGCACTTTATTGACAAGTCTTCATGTTTACAGTGAGTGCATAATGCCTCTGAAAGATTCTTCAAGCACAAATGAGAGAAAGGTATTAAAACTAAATCATTTGCATATATCAGATATTTTTCTGTTCATAATTACTGGAGAACAATTTATTTTTGCTAGTTAGGCACCAGATCATTAACATAAATATTAAAAAGTGGGGATTAAGAGATATCATTGTTTTACTCCCAAGCTGTTTTAAATGCTTCCATTAAGGAACCGTTTAGTCCAATCCTAAGCCTCTATGATCAGTCTTAGAAGTTTATAACTTTTGCCATAATCTGTTTCTGCTAATAGAGTCAAAAGTGGATGAAAAATGATAAAATGCTGCATAAAGATACTTCTTGATGACATTAGTATATTTCCTTATTAAGCAATTTAATGTAAAACATTCATCTATGGTGCTGTAATGACACCTAAAACCAGCTTATTCTTCATGTATAATTTGATTTGTATAATTTTTGAAGATACCATTCATATATCTCTGAGGAAATATCTAGCCAACTAACGGGCTGGTAATTTTGTGGATTGTTCCTGTCATTCTACTTACAAATTGGAAAGATAATACTTAATTTCCACCTAGGAGGCATTAATCCAATTGAATTTATTTTGGTGAACAAACAAGATAAAATTGGTGTCCACCATTCTGAATATTCTTTATGCTGGTCTAGGGGAAGCATATCTTCTTCAGGGGCTTTCTTTGGTTGTAAACAAGTGATGACTACTTAATCTCCCTGCAAGTAACTGGTTGCCACTTGGTAAACTAGAAATATCTTGATTTTCTTCTGTGATACATGGTTGCCATAGCTGGGCACCAAAGATAATGGAGAAATAATTTGCACAGGTTGAACTTGGAATTACAGCATCTTTATCTCATTTAGACCTTGAGAAACAATTTCCCAGAATTTAGTCTCCTTATGTTCTGATGCTACCAGGTTTAGTTCCTGCCATTACATTGCCATATATTTTTCTTTCTTGATTTTAAGCAGAATCTTATACTCCGACCTCCATTTAATAAGGGTTCCTAAGGGTTCCTTAGGAGAATTTTGACAGAATTCCCTTAATTTTCTAGATAGAGTTCTTCATCATCAAACCAGCCAGAATGCAATCCTGATGTGCTTCTATTAGCAGATGTTGTCACACAGAACCTACATTCTGTAATAATTTGTTGAAGAGTATCTAAATGATTAACTGACCTGTTCTGGAATAATTGATACAAATTCATCATATTATGACTATAAAGTCTCCCTTCAATACTAATGCTTGGCCTTTATGACTGTTTTAGTCTTTCATCAAGCATTTCTCTAGCCTGATGCTGTTTCTGTAAATATTACACCTTCAATTAGAGAATAGTAAAACACTAAAATGGAAAAATTGTCACTTTCAGCACAATCAAGTACTTTGAAGGTGTTTACTAGGTGAAATAGGGAAGGAGAGACCATAACATGGTCAATAACACTACCACCACCTTTTTGCATTTAAGTATAACAACCTCCAGATTGTTCCATGGGACTTCTATGAACTGTAGGTAGATTATGATGATATATAAACTATAAAAAACTTAGTCCTTGCTGATTGTATTCATTATCCATAGAAGTATGAGCTGCTAGAAAAACATCATCTGAATCTAAACCCAGAGGTGACAAAAGGCCCTCTGAGGCTGCACCTGTATGGCTATTAAAATTTCCACAAATGAAGATAAATGCATTTGGTGTTTTCTGAATTATCTGATCCAGAAGAGATTTTAAATCCTTCCAAATCTTACCAGCCACTAGGCTTGCCCTTGTGGGAGGAAGTATTTATGCAAAAAATAATATTTCCATCATAGTTTTAATTTGTACAGGCAAGAGGTAACTATTTTGTGACCCCCTCCCCATCTACTAACTGTGGGTCTCCGGCTAATTCTAATGAGGTAAAGTATACTAATCTCCCACTTCTTCTACCTTACTTGCATTTAATTTATAACTGGCTGACTAAATGAGTATATCAATGATATATAACCCTGAAGAAATGGTGGACTATGTTCATACAACCATATCTCTTGCAGGCAAATAATACATTGTTGTAGTGTTCTGACAGATTCTCTGCCTGCCATTTTATTTCCCTAGATACTAGGAGAGTATGCTCAACCCTTTCAGGGAAAGACCTAGTCAGTTTTGTGCTCTTAACTGTGACTTAAGAGGCTCTAAATTGTGTATTTCCCCCATTCCTCAAATTGCCTTGAATCTCTGAGGATCTAATTGATTATTCTAAGTGAATTTATTCAGAAAGTGATGGTTGTACCTACCAAACTTCTCAGGTATGACTCAGCTCCCACCTTAGATCTGAGGTATATTATCTTTCTTTCATTTTTCTGATGACATATTTTTATATTATTTGGGTAAGTAAGAAAATGAGGGATCTAACAGCTCCCCCCCCCACCCAGCCATCAGCCTTAGCATGATTTTCTAATTTACTCTTTCTTAAAGGGAGACCAGAGTTAGTATACAGTTGATAAGATTCATTTTGATATTGTCTAGTTTCATGTGATGGCTCACTAGTCCCCTTGTTTTCTACATTTTGGGGGTACTATTAATAGCTCTATCCCTCATCAGGGAGAGAGTAGGGCGATGCCCTGTGATGTCCAGGGGGTTTTCTGTCAATAGAGAATCAGAGTGTAATTCTGTGGAGTTTGACTGAATCCCATCTTTGGCAGTATTCAAGTACTCATCAATTATCAACAGCCTTGGATCAGATGGAGTAAGGTTAAGAACAGAAAAGCAGCTGTTAGTGCTGGCTTCACATACATTTTGATTAGACTGATAGTATAATTATGAGATAGTTTTCAATCTAAGAAAATATTAATACTTTAAGTACTGAATCAGTGGAGAGCTTACCAACCTTGGTTGTTTCCTTTTGCTAATGATCCATCAGGCTTTCTTCCTCCTTCCTGCTCTGCGTAGGTGGGCTTGTATGGGGAGCCACTGTCAAAATCCCAAGCTCAACTAGCCCAGCCAGAGTGTTGACAGTAGTATTGACCCAATACTACCTGCTATAACACATCTATCTTATGGGAAATAATCTCTGCTGCTTCTTTGGATAAAAAACATTGATCTCTTAATAAGGAGTACAAAATAGAGGTTTCCGTCTCAATATCCACTAACTCTACTTGGATTCTTACTGAGTGTTTAATATTTCTTTACATGAGTTGGTATGTATTTTGACAGGAGATGAGCAATCTGCCCTTTCATTACTGGGTCAATTGACCAGTTAACTGGATAATTATCATGGGAGTATAAGATAGACTCTTCCTCACAAAAGATAATGTCTCTGGGATTGGGTTCTGCCTCCCTGCCATTTAATAGCCCAGCATTGTTGTTTAGGGAAAAATCTACCTCTTGGATCATCCACTACTGGTTCTGTTCTGGCTTTCTCTTTATGCACAGGGTCAAAATAGTCTAAGATAGATTTCTGAACTAAGTTGGATAAATATTTTTGATAAGCCTTGCTGATAACTGGACCTGTGTAACAACCATTTTATACAAATGAGATTTAAAATATGTACAGTAGCAAATTAATCAGGTAAGTCCAGGGTAATAAAAATAGGATACGTAGAAAATATAAAAGTATTTTAAAAATAAAAAATCAATGTGTGTGTGTGTAAATTAATATTTAAAATAAAATGTTGGAGATTTTGAATAAATTCATATAATAAACCCAAGTAACAAACTAGCTTGTTATGGCCAAAACTAGGAAAGCATTTTTAGGATGCTTCTAGGTAAGACTTCATACACTAATTTGATTTCAGTATGAAACAACAACCCCTTGAGAGACAAAAGCTGTTAAGTATAGTGAATCTCCATGTCCTCTTGAACACCACACCTCTAGCAGCTCCCCCCAGTGTGTCTATTTAGGTACCAAATGAGACAAACACTGTCCCAGGTAGCTGCTGTTCTTCCCTCTTCTCCAATGGCTCCAGAGTAGTCACTAGCAGCCCTGCCTTTTATACTTAGTGCAGCAGCTCTTGGGCACCAGGGAGACAGGCACAGTCCCAAGTAGCTGCTGTTCTTCCCACTTCTCCTCAAACTCTTCCCCAAGAGGAGGAGTTGGCTGGGTGAGTTCTTGCTCTGTTGTTTGTAACTTCAGTTTGCTTTATGAATGGAGCTGGATTAATGTGGTCCCTTGTCTTTCTGTAGTCAGGAATAATACTTGGAAAAATCAACAAACTAAAAAACAAATTAAGGATCCCAGAATGTAGGAGGATGGATCGGTTGTTTTTTTTGGAATTTTTAAACTTGTTTTTTAACTAGAACTAGAACTATAGCAGTCTGGTAGCACGTGGCACAAAAAATCCCACGGGCATAGCCAGAAAACTAATTGCTTGATATTTACAATCAAAACACACTGAAGCATGATGCTTGGATGCTCCTAAAGAAATAGGCAATGGGATTTGTTAAAAAGGTGGAATATCCGGTTATGCAAATTATAATACCGATTGCACTTTTTCTGTACCAACAGGGATTGGACTGCCTTCCTGTTCAAGAATTTTTCTTCTGAAGGCTATTGCTTCAAAGCCTAATCCACTCAAAATCAGTGGGCTGAATTCAGAGCCTTATTCTGCCAGTGGGAGTTTTCCTTAACAGAATTTCACTCAAAAAACTCCCATTGATGAAAAGGGAGGGAGTCATTTTTTTCTTGACTCTACCACTGTTTTGGAAGATATCTGGCCCTCTAGAACTTGAACATATCTTTACCACACATAACAGAGGGTGGGAAACCTTTTTGGGGTAAAGGACTACAGTGGCATATTTCATTTTATAGTGTATATTCAATCAGGTGAGGTTTTTACTGGATTCAGTCTAGTGTTTTTTTAAATCTGTGAGTGTAGCTGGAGTTCTTAGGGTTGAGAAGAAATTAAGAAATGGGCAGGGGGAAAAAATGAAAGGAAAACAATTGGTACAGAGATTTTCCTGGGAATTAGAACTATGTTTTCAAGTAAATATCAAGGGCCCATTTGCTTTTATAGGGCATGATCTAACAAACCTCCCCAGAGCATGATGCTTATGGGCAGCCTTTAAACAAATTTATTTATTTATTTATTTATTAAAACATTTTTATGCCGCCCCATTCGCCGAAGCCTCGGGGCGGCTTACAACAATTTACAATTTACAACAATTTACAATTTAATAAATAAATACATAATTATTAATAAATCCCACTGATTTAACTGAAAAGGGTTTAAGTATGTCTTTTTGGTGTCTTCACAAGTTATTTATGATTTTCAGATTTGCTGCTATTGTAATTGTACTGCATCAAAAACAATGGTTTTTATTCATTTAACAAAAATTAAATTTGAAAACCCACAATGCCTCCTTTTTTATCTTGGATATAAACTGAGAATGTTCTGAAACTAGGAAGAGGTGGTGCTGATATAAGTGGCCAGTTCCAGCTTCTAATTCCTAGCTCTAAGATGGTTCTGAGAATAATTTCTCAAGATACTGGAGGATCAGAAACTGGAAAGGGCATAGCTCTGAAGCACAGCATTAGATGTTTCCATACCTGCTCATAGAAATTAAGTTTTTATTATTAAAATGGATTTTACTCCTGATCCTCATTTCAACAATATTCCTGTGAACCACCAAGAGAGTTTTGGCTATTCAATAGTATGAAATAAATAACAACTGTAATAGTACATGTGTTGATTTTATTACTTCAATTTATATTGTGTAGTTTTAATATCTGATGTAGCAAATGAAAATAAGTTGGACAAGTTTGATTTTTTCTCAGTTCAAAGCAAACAATAATTGTACAATGTTTCTGTTTCACAATTTTAGCATGCCTATTACAGCAGAACAGTAGTTTTAAGGCTACTTGAAAAGAGATATAAATCTTTGGTAAGTCTGTGGCTTTCAGTTAAGGATTGAGGGGTGACTTTCTGATCACTAAAATGTGCTTTAGAATTGTATTTTATTAAGTAAAGCCATTCTTGGAAATATATGTTTTGGGCATTTTGATACTGAGGTTAGAGGTCCAGTTGTTGTGGTTTGGTTGTAGTTTCTATTTCTGTACCACCCATAGCTAATAAAGTTTATATTGAGACTGAACTAAGATCTCAGGCTATTCCATGAACTTCTTGATAGGTTTTTTGTGATGTTGTGATGCTTTAGGAAGTATGAAAATTCTAGATATGACATCCTTCAGAGAGAGACTATGTATTTCACCTTTCCACTTGTATACTCCTGTCAATACAAAATTTGTTCTACTCATTAAAGTCTAATGAGGAAAAACCAAGTTTGCTAATGAGTTGAGTGAAGTAATGTTTGGTTATTGGTTTGACCAAAGTATCATCCATTTTCTGTGAAGTACAATATGCGTTGTCATTTTATTTTTCAGATTATTGCATCTGTTGAGGTGTGCACCTCCTACTTGGAAGCTTGTGAATCAGCAGCTGATGGAACAGGGAGATGTAATTCTTTGTCCGCATCACATAGTTGTAAGTCATCTTTCCATGTACTGAATGAATACACACACACACACACATATCTTTATTGTTTGCATTTTTATAATATGTATCAGTGTGCCATCAAAGTATTTTTATGACAAGTGCTCAGAATAAGTTCAAATTAAAAATTTCTAAATCATTTTTCAATTTGTGGTATTTTCTCTTTGTCATAACAAAACCAGAATATTATTGGCAGTTGCATTTAATGCAAACTGTGCAGTATCCTTTATAACTATATTATTGTTATAGTCGTTTGGAGTCTAGTACATCATGAAAGAGCAAAAAAGTTTATTGATACAGGTTATCTTATTTTTTAAGGTAAGAAAGAGAAGAATTTGTACTCAGGAAAAGAATTACAATATATACATTTTGTTCATTCTGTGAGCCTTTTAGGCAGATTATTGATATATAAACAAGGCAGAAAACTGTTCCCTGTTCAACTGAGAAACGGAAAAGGTATGTTCTTACAGATACTTTTCTAAAGGTTTTTCCTTCTTGAATCTGTTGTTTCTGCAGGAGGCAGAAAACAGTGCAACTCTCATGAGATCAGTTATTGGGGTTGGGATGGGGCTGGTGTGTTAATGCTAGTGCTGCCTGGTATATTATCACTGTTACACTTCTACCTAGAAGGACAAAGTATAAAATGTTGCTCTTTTAATCAAAAAAGCAAGAGCAAGGTGAGGATGAAAGCCTGAGGTTGAACTTTGCTTATTCGATTAGTTTTACACCACAGTTCAGTGTTAGATCTGGAATAGGCTGCGATGGTGTATGCATTGTGATATTGCAGCAGTCTTCCCCAGCCTGGTGCCCTCCAAATGTTTTAGAGTACAATTCCTGACAGACCCAGCCAGTATATTCAATTGCCAAGAATGATAGGAGTTGTAATTCAGAACTTGTGGAAGCCCTTAATCATGAGGTTATCTCAAAATTCTTAATTTGCCCTCCAAGACTTATGGCTAGTTTAAGAAAACTGTAAATTACATTATTTGCAGGAGTAGAACATGAACCTGACAAAATTTTCATATTGTGCCACTATTAATTACATAATTATGGTTAAATTACTTTAGTCTTTGAAGCTGTAGGAAATAGAGGAGAAGCTGCATTAACTTAATTTGAATTGAACATGAATGCTATTTATGCATAATAAATAATACCTATTTTTAAATATTTTCCCCATGTCCATAGATTTGATGTCACTGACAGACCTCGTCATAATGTTTATTCGTCTTATTTATTATTCTCCAAAAGCTGTTACTATCCATTTAGGTAACATTGTGCTTTTTATTTGTTCTATTTAATGGGTGGGGTTATATTACACTTTACTATGTTATTGTAATTTATGGATTTAAGTTTTGCCTTAGAGTCTGCCTAGGTCATTTTGGCTAATGTTTTCTGTGGAAATGTAATCAATAAACAAACAAAAATAAACATTATTTATTGGTTTGTGAAGAAAACACATTCTCCTTATGTATTCTTCTGTGACTAGCTGCAATTATATTTTATATTTTGTATTTATATTTTGTATTTGGGCTGAATTTGAAGTAGGGGATGATGAGAGAAAAAGAATATCTTCTGTTACTTTGTTTTCCTTCCATATTTATATTGATTGCAACACTGTTGACTACTACTTTAAAGCAACCATTTTCTTTTTATTTGGTAGGCAATTATTCTCCAGCTGGTCTCATTACTGATGTGCTAAGAATTCTTTGTGATCGAAAAGAATGTGCAACTGAATGTTTATATACTAATGCAGTGATTGAGGCACTTCTTCAACCACTACATGATTTACTAAGTGGAACGGAGGTTTGTTTCATTTCCTCTGAATAAATAGAAATAAAATTTATTATAGAAAAATAGGATGGCAATGATCCTGTTACAGTGAAGCAAACTGAGGTTCTAGCATATGGCTATTTATTTGAAATATGTAGTTAATGGAGATATCCATTCTCCCTGCAAGTAACACGTGGGAACTACTTTGGGTTTATTGTGTCTGGTTCTGTATCCTTACCTGATCTATAAGCATGACTCCCAGTGAGAAATGAGGAAGATGGCTTTAGAACATAGCAGTATAATCATATAAGGTCTACTCAGAAGTAAGGCTTGTTGAGCTTAGTGGCACTTAAGCTAAGATTAGTTGGTATAAGATTGCAGCTTGCATCTCCCTTTTTAAATCAAGGCCCCTGCCTGTAATTATACAGCATCCTCTGGGAAAAACTAATAACATCTTGGAAATTAGAATTATTTTTTTCATAGGTATTATAACTTTCCTCAAATCAGAATGCTTTTATTTGTGGTTGATCTAAGTAATTGCTTGCAGTGATTGAAATGAAGTAAATTTATATGAAATTGTGTATTGCACTCTGAAATGTAACAATGGGTTGGAGCCAGATTTGCTCTTGTGCTAATGAAAGCAGTCCTTCTGTTCATTCTGTTCACCAGTGAGTTGTATTCAGTGGAGGTTTTCAATCCCTTATCTGGACACTTCAGTGGGAGAAGAGAGTTATTCTTGCTGATTTCTTTTTTCCCCAGTGCCATATCCCTAAGGATGCTATAGGGCTCCTTAGCCCTCTGGATCAAGTTTTCAGAGACATAGAGGGCCATTAGTGGACCCAAGGGTTTTTTAAATTTTTCCTTCTTTCTTTTACTGCAGAAGTATCTGTATTGTGAAGATTTGTGCAGTTCTGGATCCTAACCGTTGACTGAGCTGAATTATAATTAAGCAGCAAGAGTTAGAAATAGACCTTGAGTGTTATGGGGAGCTGGAGATGGGGAAATTTAAGAAAAGATTCTGAAGAAGGCTTTCTTTCCTTAAAGTGGAGTTGCTTCAGTAAGGGAAGGAGTATGGGAAGATGTGTGGTTAATCTGGGGAGGAAGTCTGTCTTGGAAATAAGCCCCATTCAATTTTTATATTAAATTAAATTTATATTAGCATTTGTATTTTAAATTCATTTTAACTTTTTTGAATATGCATATTAATATTCAGTGCTATTTTAGATAAACATTAACAGTTCTGTTTAGCTAGTGGGACATTAGAGCTGCCTCAGAAATGTCTTGATTAAAAACCTCACAGTTCACTGATGTAATCTGGAGAATAACATCAGTATTCCAAATTTACTCTTTGTTATGTTGTTTTGCCTTTTGTTAGAAAAGGCTTGTGGCTGGATCCTCCATAAATAAACCATTTAATTTCAGTCATTTTAAACTGTATATTCAGGTGCATCTAAATTATCTAGAAACAACTCTAATACACATAGCTGACATTTTGGCAAGGATTGCTGCCACAGATGATGGTCTTTCATTGCTTCTTTATGGAGGAGAAAAATCTGCTGTCGAGGGTAATAGGTAAGAGAATACCTCTTAAAAGTGAAAATAGTTCTGTATTACCAGTCATGTTACTAGTAAAGTGTATGTCTGTCTGATAAGAGATGACATGGGATTGTGAAGTGAATGCCTTGCATATTACATTTATGTAAATTATTTATTATGCAAATAAACATAAGGGACATTCCTTGTCTCTACAATTTGAACGGGTTTTTAGACTGTTAACTGGATATTATTTCTTATTGGTCACACTTTTGGTTCTTGGATTACTATTTAACTACATCTCAATCAGTTAGAGTAAGTTAGAATTCATCACTGTATAAATAAGCTTGAGCTTCTACATCCCCCATTCCCCTTTCATGAGAAAATGAACATTGAAGGTCAGTGTTCATTTTCCCATGAATGCGAAAACATTGAAGGTCAATGTTTATTTTCAAGTGCCTGGCTTACCTGATTACTCAAGGTTAAGTGTGTATGTGTGTGTTTTTTCCCTATGTTATTTGAAGTTAAAAAAAATATGTTGCTGAAGTTCATTAAGTTGAAAAGTTTATTGATTGCCATTTAACTAAAATTCCACACTGCATTCACAAAGCTGTTTTTATAATAAAACTGTGTTGCTTCCAGTTAAGTTTGTCTTTATTGGTCTTAATTTGCTTTTAAGTCAATACAGGTATGGTATGCTATGGTATGGTATGGGGTATAGTATTAGTCCTATTTTTAATAGTAACTCTCAGGCAACCAGAAAATACATTTTTCCTGCATCTACCAGTTCCCTTTGGGCATCAGTTAACTGAGAGTCTACTGAATCATAATGAAACAAATCTGAATTGTCATATGGGTTTTGAAATATTTTTTAAAAAATCTACTTTGTCAGGGCACATTGCATCCATAGAGTCAGCATAAGTGACCTGATAGCTCATAACAATATGTATGTGCCTGCTAATCCAGATTGCATTTACAATTAATCTGAAATAGCTCCAGGGGCAGTTTTTGCTGGGCTGCTTGGCAAGGTGTGGGAGGGATTAAACTCCTTGGTCTGTCACTTCACACTAGATTATGCCTTCCTTGTCCCTGACTTTTATTTAAAAACATTAAAAATAGCTACCTCATGTTGTAAACATGCTACTTAAAAAGTGGCTAGTATAACATGTTTTACCCTGAATTGCTAGTGAAATAAGAGATTTTTTGATGGTCTGTGGGAGGGTAGAAGAGAAAGGATTTCTTCATTTGCTTGATATTTTTGCTCTTGCATTCAGGGCCAGATGCTGTAGGCTGTAGGTGTTCTTGACCGGTCTTAACATACTGTATCAGTAGGAAACCTTAGGATAAATATATGGAAGGAGAATTGGGTCGGCTTGTAAGGATTAGGATTGGGCTTACTTGCATAGCCACATCCTACGCTATGCTTTTGTTCTACATATGAGTAAGCAACTACCTGGATATTAACATTTAATTGCTAAAGTGCCTTATAGCAGCACAGCCAAGTCAATAAAACATTTTTTTGAAGTGTTGCATTGTTTACAGCTGTAGGGGTGCACATACAATCGTTCAATTTACAAAGAAGCTTCTTGATGAAGACATTTCTGTTTTGCCTGGTTCTGAGATGTTGCCAGTCCTCAAAGGAGCTTTCATCTTCGTGTGCCACCAGATGTATAGTACCTGTGAAGGATTAGAGGTGCTGCTACCTTACCATTTACATGAATCTATTGCCAAGGCTTGGAAAAAGGTAGTCTTATTTTTGTTATGCAAAGCATATACGTGCATGTTATACAAGGGGTGTGTGTGTGCATGGTTTTTCACATTTGTTATTTTATTGTGGTATGAACTTTCCAAGGAACTGGCACCTGAAATATACCTTAACATTGCAGCAACATAGAACTGATTCTTGATTGCAAGTTCCCGTTTTGCAATAAGGGAGAGTAGTACATAGATAGTATAGGGAGCTGCAATTTGCTTGGATCTCTGCAGTATATACATATGATTAAAACAGACAAGTATAAACTTCAGAAACCACAAAATATTTACCAGTAGGGTATGCTTGTATGAACTTTCTAATTTAAATAATATGTCAAGTGGCCCTTAAAAGATATTGGAAACTTTCAAGATTCTGTACTGTTATATATGTAGGACACTACATATTTCAATTTTCAATAAAGAAAATATAGATGTCTGCTAATTTTCATTACTCATAAAAGTCCAATGCTACACTTTTTGCATATGGTTGCAAGAATTTCATATGAAATATTCAAGAGTTAATTTGCAATCTTTCTGAAGATTTACTTAAACATTTGCTTCATGCTTCATTGATGAATAGTTGATACTGTTCCAAATAATCTAAATTTCTGCTGATTTTTTTTTTTTCATTCAACAGACTAGTTTGCTTTCAGAGAGAATTCCAACTCCTGTTGCAGGAGCAGACTGTGTTTCAACCGTCAGCCAAGAATCACAGAACTTGTGAGTAATTCTTTGTATCCGATGCACAGATTTAACCAGAAAAAATGGTTAAATTTGCATACATTTAGATAACATTTTAACAAGAGAGAGAGAAAAAGGAAGGAAGGAGATTTAGTACTTTGATAAGCAGGGGGCTGAAAGTAAAACAGTTTAGTGTCCTGCGTAACCTCTCAATGACTGTAGTTGCATGACATGGCAACTAGGGATATAGAGGAAAACATTTGAGGATGGGTTTCCTATTGAATTCCCTGGGCTTAGTTCTCTAGAGTATGCTTGCTTTTGCATTGACTCTGAAACTGAATTCCTGCCAAGTGTGTTGAGTGTTTTTAGGGTTCTCAAAGGAATTGAGCCCTATGCTCTGCACAGGCAGCGACTCTCTTCTTTGTCACCTGCACACTTGTTTTGGTTGTGGCACCTGACGCAGAAGAAGGTTGGTCACACAGGACTCACCAGGAATGGAGATCCACATGATGACAGCACAAGTAGTGTTCCTTTTCTGGGCTACCTGCAGCACCTTTGTGCTGCTGCTGTTGTACAATCTTCATTCCAGGAATGTTAGTAGACTTCCTCTAAGTTCAGCTCATTTTGCAAGACCAGGCACAAGAAGAAGTCAGCAAATACTAAAGGGACGAATTCCACTAGAGTTCATCCCAACTCTAATGACAACCCATTGTGGGTAACTACACATGGTAGGTTGTCATTTTGTAACAACTTGGACTGCTTCCATTATGGTGGCTTGTTTGTGGGCAGCAAACTATCCTGTTAGTCTGTAGGAGTTGGACCCATAATGGATTGTATTGTCTGAACCCTGACAACAGCTTGTAGTTCTTGCCAAGCTTACCTAAGTAATAACCAGCAACAGCTGTTCTGCTAAGTGGCCAAGTGGTACTTTGGAGTGAATGTCACTGGTTCACTTCCCCCTGATGTGAGCCCTTTTATACTCACCATGACTTTCCCCCCTCTTTTTCTCATAGATAGCTTTTTGCAAATTCGGAAGAATCACTGGTAGTACTTCAAAAACACACTGGAGCGTCTGTCACTGGTTTGCAGCTTTTGTGCAAACCCATTAATTCTTTCTCTCTCCCTCTCTCCCCCCATTTCCCCACCTGCCTTTCTTCCTTGCTACATCCTCACTTCATGCAGTGATTCATGCTTTACTCTTTAATCACCTCTCCACTGCCTCATGTTTCCTGAAAAAAAGATGTGGCATAATTTTCTCATAATAATAACATGTAACATGCATAATGAGTCAGGATATACATTCTATTTAATTTTCATATGCTGACATTATTCTATGCAAGATACATTGGCTAAGACAATGAAGACATCATAATTTCCAGAAATATATTAATTATAGCTGGTTCATTTTAAGAGCAATTTTTCTTCGTCATTTTGTAATGTCAGCATCCACTGGCTATTTATAAAATGAAGTGAGTCATTTTGCTGTCAAACTATAGAACAGCAATTAGTTTTTTTATTTTAAAATATATTGTCTAAAATACAGTCCATAGAAGAAAAATATATCACTATTAAAATCATTTTATGAAATATGTACTATGTAATATAAAATCCATGTTTCTTAGCTTTTGATTAATTCAAGAAACATTTTTAATCTTTTGCTTTTAAAAACTTAGTTGAAAGGTTGGCTTTCTTTGTCCATTTAACATTTTCCTATCTCACATGTCTGCAACATCCTGATATAAGAAAACTGTAACACATCAGTAGTTTCAAGATCAAAACAAACAACAAACTTTTCCAATTACAAAATACTTGTGCTTGCTCATATGGAAGCAGTTTTTGCTTGTCATGGCAAGTAGGCAACTGGTTGTTTTCAATATGGTTCTATATACAGAATGGGATAAAAGATACAGTGGATTAGTGTGTTTATTGGATTGTAACTATGGGTAGTAATTGTAGAACCACTTTTACCTGATAGTATGTAACAAACATCTCTATTTTAAGATTAATATCTCATTGAATACTGGCAGCCTGTGGATTAATATTTGCATGAAATAATGCCATAGTTTTTAATTACTTCTTGAGGAAACAATTTGTAACATTCAGGTATAACTGGTTGGCATCCAGGCATTATCATTTGATCTGTCCTGATTAAAAAATACCCTGATTGTAACAGTTGACTGTACAGTTTATTTTTCTAGAACAATATTTTGCAGTGTAACCATTTAATTTTAGAGATGGTGTTCTAATAACTGCTAGGCTGATGTTTTCTGCTATTTAGTTTTCATTGCTACCTTTATCTGTTACGTTGCAGAGAATAAAACGGTTTCATTCTTCTTTGTTAAGTAGTAAATGCAGAATGCTGTACGTTTCAGGAGAAGTGACTTTCCAAAGTGTGTAATCTGTTACTCATTTTTTTTTCACGCTATGCTCTCCATTTTTAAGGAAACATAAAAGGTTTATTCACAGAAACACTAACGTGTTGGGGGGAAGGGTTGCTTGATTTATTTTATCTTCATTGGGTTTTATGTCTGTGTGTCCCCACCAGTATTGTATTGGAAGAGACATTGTTGGATGACTTGCTCAGCTTTGCTGCTACACCAAAAGGGCTGTTGTTGCTACAGAGTACGGGAACGGTCAATGAATGTATAACCTTTATGTTCAACAGATTCACGAAAAACTTCCAGGTAGGCATAGTCCTTTATGAAATAATATTTAGAAAATAAAATCATAAAATATTTTTACTACTTGCTTTGAGCAAAAAACTTTTATTGCATATGCATTACCATTCTCTGTCAGAGGTGCATAATAATACCTGATACTTTTGATTTGGGAATGAATAATCAATTCTGTAGACAATATAAATTCTGTAGACAAAATTCTGTAGACAATGCATATAAAGGCTATCGGACTTCTGTCTCACATAAGTCATGTTTCTCCTGGGGAGAGGATGTATTTGGGGCCTTTAAATGAATTGTTGGTTATCATTTATGTTAGGTCAATGGATGTGAAAAGTTTGGCTATGGAGTAATAGTTTCACAAGTGGCTGCAACTGCTTCAGGTGCTGTAGCATTACAAAGTTCAGGTAAATTTTGCTAATTATATTGTAAGTGATCATGAATAAATATAGTAATATAGCTGATTTTTATCTCTGCTAGAACCTCATGCCACATATAATTTTCTCCTGTCTTTATTGGGGTGAATTTAGTGGTTCAGACATAATGTGAAATCATGTTTTGATGTTGTTTTGATGTTGTGAAAGCCTGAGGCTCAGATGCAGTTCTTCTTGTGTTCCTCTTCCTCTGCTCCTATTCTCCTCCCCTTGCTATGACACATCCCACTGTCTTTTTGGGGTTTGCAGAACAAATGCAAATCTCATGCAGGCCTTCGATAAAGGACAGAGAAAATTCCCATGGAGGAGGGAAAAGAGGGAGTGCACCAAATCAGGGATGCAACCAATGTAATTTGTATAATGTCAAATCATAATTTGCTGGTAAGCCTGAACTACCCTTCTGTGTGTGTAACACATGTGCGCTGTTGCAATGACAGCTAAAAAGAGACTGTGAGATATTCATAGGTGCATATGAGTGTGACATCATGCTTAATTTGATATAAATTGCTATGCATGTGGGGGAAAAAGGATGCTGGCTTCCCACATGAGCACAATAGAATCCTCCCTGCTGTGCCAAGCTGATTTTTGTGTGTCTGTGCTTCTGATGTGTCAGCCATTTTCTGTAGATAAAGACCTTTGCATCTGGCAGCCTCAGAATCCCCATTTTATAGGTCACTTGTGACAAATAAGGCCTGGAGAGAAGCAGGGCACAAGATGTAGTAAGGTAGAGGGCAGGAGGGCCTCTTACTTTTTGAGCCGATTTCTGGACATAATAGATCATGTATTCACAGCGTGCATAGGGGTAAGAGTTTGATCTTTCTGGGGATAGTGTTGTAGTCCTTTCCTCATTTCAGTCTCCTATTTCTGTTTCTAAATTTAAATAAGTGTATATTAAGCAATGAGCTTTTTTTCCACAGTGGGCAGTAGCCAATATTGCTGCTGCACTAAAAAGAATGATATCTAGCTAAACCTGAAACTAGCTGAAGCTACCACTTTTAGAATGGGGCAAACCAGAATTGCCTGTGGAAGGAGCTCTGCTGACTTGTCTCATACCAGAAGAAGTAATTTCAGCCAGTTTCCTGGATTATGCTAGCAAGCACCACCTTCCCATTGTGCCATTTCCACAAGTACAGCATGTTTAGAATAGGGGGATTGCCAGTACTCAATAGTGGTCTTGAGGAGGAGAGTTGTAGGAGAGTTAAACCATTTTGATGAGGTACTGATTCTCCCCAAACCAAAGTCTACTACATGGGATCTGTTGCCACTGTATTTTAACATGTATACTATATAAAACCAGCTTTTATAAATAAACTGTTAAGAGACTACCTAAGAAAGTGTGCATGCTATAAAAGAAGGGTGCTTGCACTTATCAAGAAGTACAGGATTATCGTAGTAGAACTAATAGGACGTTTCACTGGAGACCAAGACCAAGATTATCCATGCTGTTCACTATGTATGAATGTGGAAGTTGGACAGTGAAGAAAGCTGACAGGAAGACAATTAATGTTCTGCATAGTTTTGGTTCTGCTTATGGATTCTGCATCTGCATGAGGCCTGCTGCAGGAAGATTCCCAAGCTAGAATCATTTTAGCAGGAACCCCTCCCCTCCCACTCCTTGGCATATCCAGGAGGGGTTCCTGCTCTTTTCCTCAGTTCTCTTCCGAACACTAGTTTAGGTGCCTTGAGACTTTCTTCACCTTTCTTGAACTTGTATCTTTGTCTTACGTCACTTTTTGTTTCTCTTGTTGCCCTTCCCAGCTATTCACCCTAACCTTCCCTGTTAAAAAAGTCACAAAAACAATTTCCCTTAAAAATTAAAAACCTTTCAATTGTCAGTCTGTCCAACAGGCCTGATGCTCCATTTCAGTTTTCCTTACTGTCTCCCCCTATGGCACTCAATGCACCATTTTGGAAGTATGTGAGCTGTGGGAGTCTCTACCTTCCCAAAGATGGATGTGCATTGTGCCTTTTTTAAAAAACTTTTGAGAGGGGCATCTCATGAAGGCCTGTCCACATTGCCAGGCCTTCACTAAGCAGGTCCAGAAGAAACGCACAAGGTGGCTGAGGGTTGAACTTTGGAGCTAGATGCTCTAGGTTGCTGATGCAGCCTCAGCTTCACCAACGGACTGCCCATCTACTTCTTTGTCTGTGCCGTCCCTGCTGTCAGTGGTTGCAAGGGCTTTTTCAGCTGTACCATCCACCCCGTCTACTCCTAGAAGCTCAGACAAGGCCTGCCTGACACTGACCAAGAAAATGGTGGATTTGGGGAAGGCCAAGCATAAGAAAAGGCCTAGGGTGCATTGTTTCCCACTGGTGCTGAGCACACCTGTACTGGGACTGGAGCCAACACTGCCAAGGCGCATGCCAGCTATGGAGCCAATCTCAGTGCAATCAGTGTTGGAGAACAAGATCCGGGACTTGCCACTGCATACTCTGGCCTAACCTCATTCCAAGCCCTTACTGGTCAGGGTATCTTCTCATCACTGCATTGAGAAGTACCATTACTGTTGCCATGCTCAGCTGCTACTATCTCTCTGTGCAGAACTGAGGCCTTTTCCCTGGTGCTGTCCCATACCTCTGATTGTCTCCCACACAATTGCGTCAGATCCCCCATTGAGAATTGAGATTGTGGGGCCTTCCGGCTGTGTCCACCAACCCGCTGACTTGCACCAGGAGGATAGCATGTTCTCCAACCGATGGAATTAACCAGTTACTCTGAGTCACTGCTATCACTTCAGATTTCTGCTATCATATTTCTGAATGAAGGGGTGGAGCAGGGTGTTGGCAAGTTTCTTGTCCTCCATCACCACTACACTTATTTACCACCTTGATGCTGCAGTCCAGTTTCCTGTCTTTGCAGGAATCCCACCTAGATACACCGGGGGGGGGGGGGGAGGGGGGAGAGGAGTTTCTACCAGGACTAATCTAGCTTGAAAATCTTACCACCAACAGGCCCTACGCAGGCACAGAGCCCATGTGTGAAGCACAGATGACCATTCAAACAATGGCAGTTGCCAGTTACCTGACTTGTTTGAGACACAGTGCTGGAGGAGAGCTTTGGGAATATCCTGGTCTGGCAGAAAGATGAGCAATTGGGTCCTAGATCAGATCAAGCCAGAACTTTCCCTGGAAGCAAAAATGATGAAACTGAGGCTGTCATACTTTGAGCATATCATGAAAATGCATGACTCATTGGAAAAGACAAATCAAGCTAGAGAAAGTTGAAGGCAGAAGAGGAGGAGAAAGACCAAATGTGAGATGGACTGATACTATAAGAAGTCCAGAGCCTTGAGTTTACAAGAAGAGAGCACAGCTGTTAAGGACAGGACATTTTGGAGGGCGTTCATTCTTAGGGTCGCCATAAGTTGGAAACAATATGGTGACATGTAACATTCTAAGTGATGCTGCGTGTGAGAAAACATTGTTCCTGTGCAATACCTTATGCTAGGGCTTCTGTTGTATAGTGAAGTCCCTCTGAATAAAATACTCTTTTTCTAGGATTTATAAAAGCACTTGTTACTGAACTCTGGAGCGTTCTAGAGTGTGGAAGAGATGATGTCCGAGTTACCCAACCCAAATCAACACCAGTAGATCCCATTGATCGAAGCTGTCAGAAGGTGATTTGAATTGTATTTTGTGTATTTCTATGTAAATATGTTTAAATTAATAATAACATTTACCTTGGGGTAGTCTTTAAAGTCACCTGTAGCTTGCCTTTTCTACTTTAGGTCTTATGGTATAGATGGGAATTAGAAAAACAATAAAAAAATAGCCATGGTATGGCATTAAAAGTTTGCCATAACATGCTGTGCTGACTGACTTTTTGTTATACAGCCTTTTCTTTTTCTTGTTAAACTGATAAAGGTGCAGTCTGGCTTCTAAATCAAATGAAAAAGACATACTAAATTAGTTTAGTGCTCATATTTTCAAAGTTTAGTGGCTTAAAGAATAGAAGCAAAATCAGTTCTAGAGGAGTTACGTGTAATCACATCAGGATGTTTTCAACTTCAGTAAATATGTTTCAATCAATCAGTTTTATTATCTCAGCCAGAGGCCATAATACAGAATGCAATTGCTAACATCTACAAATAAAGACAATTATCCAGAATAAAACAATACCCATATAAAAGTCATGATCCACGTTTCTTCCAAATAATCACCACTTCAGCAAATAACATGTTCTTTGGTAGAATTTAAATGAGTGTATTTTGTGGAGTAACAATAAATGGCTGTTACTGCTTTATAATGAAGTTAGTGTTGCTTTGTGAAGCATAAAGTTCTTGCCTAGATTTTATTATAAGTCTTCCCCCTGTCTTTATGTGATACAGCAGTAACTTTCATCAATGATTTTTATTTGGCCAGATTCTGTGCCAGATATAGAAATGGGTGGTTATTCTTTCAAATGAATTCAAGATGAGAGAAGGTGTGTTCTGATCTGTGCACAGCCTGCTTTGCAAACGCTACAAAAAGGGTAACCTAGTTGTCTAAATTGGAATGAAGGTGGACCATGATTGGTGGGGAGGGTGTAGCATAGCCTTCTGCAGGCAGTCCCTCTTCCATGCCCCTTTTATTGAGCAGTTAAGGGCTGTGCTGTGCCAGCTTTTGTTGACATCATGCTATAGTGCTAAAGGTGGCTCTGGCTTTGTTAACACTAGTGTACCTCCCAGATTTAAAGTGCAGCTTAACTGCTGTGATCATTAGCATTTAATCTGTGGCAGGCCTCTTTTGTGATTCTTTCCCCATTATTGCCCAACCAACAGATAGACTGTTTTTCAATCCAAACATTGCTTAGCTAAACTAACTGGCATTGCATTAAGTTCACCAAGTTCATTCCAGGGTTTGTATCCAGTGTTATTCCGGCTTTGAGTAGTCACATTGAAATAACATTGGATACAACCCCAGATGTTTGCACTGGATTTTCCACTGTTGAAATCAGTGCAACTAACTTAAGTTCCATTGGTTTCTGAAGGCCTTCATACCATAGTTGTAAAGACCAAAAAAAAAGAAGAAGAAGAAGTAAGGACTTTGTAATATTTTGTTTACTTTATCACTCTGTTTCCTGCTTTAGCCTTTTCTGGCTCTGATAAACTTGTTATCCTACCCTGCTGTTTATGAACTGATTGGTGATCAAGAGATACCTAATAAACCAGTATATTCTCTTCGTGAAGTTCCTACAGATATAATTGTAAGTAGCTTTTATCTTATTCTTTTAAAACAGCACTTTAGTTCTTTTGCCATAACTGAAGCAAACTTTGATTTTATACTCTAGGTAATAGATTTTAAATATGTTTTCACTCTTTTTATTGAATGCAGCATGAGGGCAGTATAAGCACAGAATACTCTATGGATCTGCTGTTCTATTGTTATGGGGGAAATGTAACACTTAAATCTGCAGAAGCTGCTTTCTCTTGTCATGTTACAAATCTATACATAAGCAAAAGACATGAAAGTGATATTTTTCTTGTTTATATAACATAGTATATGTGTAGAATGCTCTCTCTCTATACACACACACGCACAATTTTTATTATAGCCAATGTCAAAATAGTCAGATTTTTTAATTTTATTCTTTTACTGTTATCCTTGGGTGATACTCTGCCAGAAGTCTCTGTACTTTGGTTTTTATATATATATATATATATATATATATATATATATATTTATGTATTTATATATATATGGCCAGTTATATGGTTCTTTCTGCTCTTTCTTAACTGATGATAGCTTGAATTTCTTGACCCTGAAATGCAAAGTGGGTATCTCTGTTCTCTTCCTTCCACTGAAAGGTGCACTCAAATGGAAGAGATGGACTGTATCATCAACCAGATATTTGCTTCTCAGATTTGTGATATTTAAAATTCCCACAGGTAGCCATCATCTGCAGTTCATTCTGGCATAAAAGCATCTGCCTGGCTTAGTCCATTCCATTCTCCCCCCCCCCATTTTTTATTTTTATTTGTATTTTACTGGAAATACTCCTTACTAAGATGACTTGAGGTTTTATCTGGGCCAGCAGTGAGGAAGTTTTATCTCCACAAGATGCTTATAGCTGTCTGAATGGCTTATAACATCAAGTGAATTAGCTATTTTTCAGGATTTTTCCATTTTTCAAACATTTGGGAGTTGCTTGGACAGTATAAGATGCCATCCTGCCTGAAAAAATGTAAAGTGGTAATGTCACAATGTATCTTATAGTAAAACTGCTATTTGTCTTCTGCTTTTTAGATTGTAACTTGAAAAAATGGGCCAGATGTTGCCCTACCTTCATCATTTTTCCTGAATATGGTTTTACAAACTCCACATTATGTTTCTATAGTTCACATGCTACCTATTTAGAGCTCAAAAGTTTCATCAACTATAACCCATTGTGTTATTACAGGTGTCCATTTGTCCTTCCAGCATTTTAATATTAGTATTTTAGCTGTCGTAAGACTGTAGACCTTGGGATAACTGCTTACAATAATATACAAAGCCTGGTTATCTGAGGGAGCACCTTTCTCCATATATACCAGCACATTCACTGCAGTCTTCATCCAAAGCTCTCTTCTGTGTTTCTCCCCACCCCACAACCAAGTGAGGGGAGAGTTTGCAACAAGGAGTATAGCACCCCAACTTTGGGACTCCATTCCATTGGATGTCTGGTTGGCACCTAACTTTTGGCCTTCAGTGCCAACTAAAGACATATTTGTGTCACAGTTATTTTAATTAGGTGAATTCTTGATTTTCAATGATATTTTAATCTTTATGTTATTATGTACTGCTGCCAATATGTCTTTAAATGTAGATACAACCAGATTTTCATGGTGTCTTATTTTTGGAGTGTTTGTGTGTGTATATTCTATTATTTTTTAAATTTGTTTATTTTGGTTTTACGTAATTCTGATAGCTTGTGTATGATTTTATTGTTATTGGACCTTTGTAATTGTGTATTGTTATGCTGCATTTTGTACTGCTTTATGTTCTCTATGGATTTTAATATAATGTAAGCCACTGAGAGATCCTGTGGCTAGTGCAGCAGTATATAAATTGAATGAATGAATAAGCAAGTTCCAAGAGATGGGTAGATAATTAAAGGACATGCATATCCACAAGTACTGAAGAACTTTCCATCATAAACAGTATTGAATTATGAACTTTTTGCAAAAAAAACAGCCATTGAATATTGCCAAAATGTATCAGTAAAGGAAAAGTTTAGTTGTGTTGCACATCTAATGATAGGCTAAACTCGTTAAACTAATGTATTCAAACCATCATTTTTGCTGCATTAAATAGAACCTTAGATCTGTTACCCTTTCTGATATTGGTGCCAAGAAAGCATTCCATTGATTGGGTAAAATGGATCAGCTAGAATACCTGTTATAGTAAAAATATCTTAAGGGGACATGAGCATTGCAGCATGGCAGAGGCCAGATACATCCCCAGATACATCCCACAGAAGTTCTGCAAGCTATACTCCACTGTAGGAAGGTGTTCATGAGTCCAGTTAAAATTTCTCAGATTGAGGTGAACAAGTCTTCCAAGTTAATCTCTGTTCAAGATTATGCTGAAATATATATGTAACATAGTTTCACTGAATTCTTATTTTTAATCCTTTAAGGTGGAGATTGTTTAACCCTGATTAATGATATGCTTCTAGAAAAAGACACTGAGACTGATCCTCTTGAGTCTTTTGAACACCTTAGTGTCCTTTAATACTATTAATCCTCTTTCTGTTTGATTCTGAGCTGCTACTACATGCTTTGCATGTTTCTAACTTATAAACACCATAACAGTTTAACAAGTTGGCCTGATTATATGGTTCTGCCAGCATGCATGTTCTTGTATATGTATCATATTAGTTGACGATGTGAAAAGAGGCTGTTTTGGATTATGGTAAACAAAATGGCCATAGTGTCAAATAGCCTTTGGCCACTTACACCTGTCCTACCCGTGAGACTTTGAGAAAGAGATCCTTGAGATGTGGAACCTTTCCTCTTGACTGCCACCCAGGTTACACTTGGACAGAGTGTTCATCTGCTTCATCTGCAGACTTCTTTGTGAGACGTTTAAGGTTTCAAAATGATTTGTTGGCAAATACTGATTCTTTGCAGAATGATGGCACTGTCACATTACTAAGGTTATCTAAATCCTGTGGTTTTAAGAAAAAAGCAAACTTCTACTTAGCCCACCTCCTTTTATGGGATCTTTATTCTATCATATTTTCCTGATGATGTACACACAGATCTAAAATTAAATGCACAACACAGCTGATAAGTACTGTTCACACTTTTCTCTTTCACAGCATTTTGCTTTGCACCAGAGAACCAGACTTAAAGGAAAGAATTTATTTTTAATATAAGAACAGTTTTCTTGAATGGCTTGTTTCTCAATGTAAGAACTATTAAAATAAAATTTTATAATGAAATTTGTATCTCTATAATATACTTTCTCTTTCTGATCAAGTGTTCATATACTTTAAACATAAACTTAGTAAAGATTGTTGAGTAATAGTAATGTCTATCCAAAGTGTTAGTCATAAGATTAATACAGTTGGCCTTTGTATTTCAGGACATCGTTGATAGACTAATAATTGTGAACACGGAAGCCAAAATTCATTCATTATTTAATTATGAGCAGTCACATATCTTTGGGCTGAGGTAAGATGCTCAGTATCAAGATTCACTTAAAAAGGTACAATGCATGACTGTTATGCACCTGCTAGTTACTTGTGTATACTAGTACTGATTAGCTAGAGTTCCCAAGAAACTTGCTAAATTGGTGGTGAAAACTGCTGCAGTATAAATGGAGAGGCCAATTGCAATATAACAGTGAACTGTGCTATGTATTCAGGAAATTCAGATGCTGTAGCTAGGAGGTATTTTTCCTTTCCTTGACCATTCTTATTGTAGTCAAGTTTATCTGAGGGTTAAACAGCAGATTAACTTTGGGTTATGATATGCAACAGTGGCAAATTATGGGATAATTAATCTGCAGTTATCTAACATTATGTGTGAATTAGGTACAGTAATGGCCTAATACATTTATAACAGTAAACAGTTGCCCCAGCTGTTGATATTCTGGTATCCCTCATGCATAGAGATAGGCAAACTGTTTTTTGAGCATCTTCAGATAAGTTCCTGCTTGTCCACTTCCCAAGATTTGTTACGGTCGGTGACTAGCAGAGCTTTCAGTAGGAGTAGATGCCTTATTTGTAAGAACTGGTTGCTGAGGAATCTTTAAAAAAGCGGATTTCCCAGTAGGGCCTTGCTCAAAAAGATATCCGTTTCCCAGATTATCTGGGAGCAGTTGATTAACACTCCTGAAAATATGTAGTTTCCTCCAGAAAAAGTAACCCAGTTTGTTCCCAAGAAAATAGCTAAAGTGATTGTCATTACGTTATGTGCTTGTCCTTCTCTTTGAACTTAATGACAAGCCTCAGGTTAATTTTAGCTTTTGATTTGTACCTGAAGTGCCACAAGGTTTTCTTTTAGTGCATAAAGAGTTTAAATTGGATTCTCTGGTTTGAAAGTCCATTACTGGGATTAAAATCATTATTCTTTTCCAGTAATCTTAGTACCTGTCAAGACTAGTTTTTAGTATAGTTATTTTAGTTCATTTCCTGGACATTTTGTATTTGGTCGCATAGTTTTTCTCAGGAAAGGGCACTGTAGGGGAGAACTGCCTTCTCCTCATCTTTGCAGATCAGGACAAGTCCACAAGTGACATCAGTTTCCTTTTAGGATAATTGATTGAGATTTTGTGGATGGAATATGTCAAGTCTGGTGAGATGTCAAGTATTTTCAAAACATTGTGTTTATTAGATTTGTATCCCACTTTTTCTTACACTGAACTCAAAGTGGCTTACATAATTCTGCTGCTGCTCTAAGTCTTACACCCACAACAACAACTTTGTGAGGTAGGGTGGGCTGAGAGTCTGTGACTGGCCCAAAGTCACTCAGTTGGTTCCATGGCCGAGCGGGGACTAGAACCCAGATCATCTGAGTCCCAGTCCCATGCTCTTAACCACTGGCTCTCTTCTGTATCTCTGCCTTCTGAACCTCAGAGCATAGGACTAGGCATCGATGGAATGCTTTCTGTCCTCTAGTGTTTCCTGATGTTACATACTTGTGGAATATTTTTGCACTGGTAATATACCTTGAGACATTCCACATGAAAAAGATTAACTGCAAGTTCATGATACTGAAATGAAACATACCACTAACAGTTTTAATTCTGACTGTATTCAGAACCAACTAATACAAATGACATTCAGTTACAGTGATGTTACTTGGTTATTTCTTAGAAAGTAAAACATCTTTTTACATTCTGTGTACTATTATTTATCAGACCAATTAGTACCATTGTAAGATTTGCAGAAAGAAAAGAAATGGTGGCCAGCCTACTTAAAAACAGCATACTTAGGTTTAAGTATGCTTAGTGGCCATGGAGTGCTGACTGACTGCTGCAGGGAAAAATGGGAAAGAGGAGGAACAGAAAGAAGTATCCTGATTCTCAATGTAGTTCAGCTCCTAGTATAATTGTTTCTGACAGCCTGTGTATGGTGTTCTTGCCGTTAAACCAGTGTTAATATTCAATCAGCATATTGCCTGAATTTTGCTTATATTTATTGTAAAATATGCTGGACGTTATAGTAGTTCTGAATTTTGTTTGGAAGCAGAAAGGTTGTATTCCAATGTCCCCATCCTATTGAAGTTTTATTTATTTATTACAGACTTTTACAATAGTCTTCACAAACTCCATTAAAAATTAATACAGTGTCTTAGAAAATCTGTGGATTATCAGTTTGAAAACTACAGATGAAGGATTCTCAACATCCCAGATTTTAATGAGTAAACGAACATTTTGGATGTTAGGGTTTCACTTTGTTCTTCAACAGCATTTACAAATACTATTATGACCACAGTCACTGGAAACAAAGAACAGAGCAAAACAAAACATTGATGATCTGTGTACAAACACATATATCTGCATTTCTGTTGCATCTCTAACAAAATTTATAAGCAGGATTAATAGAAATGTAAAGGTGGGAAATGGACTACAGTAATATGACCTGACAGAAGAACAAAATTATATAAATGACAATAAATAATAGTTATTAGCAATTTCTTTGGGACTGCTTTAATTTTGTACATAAAACAATAATTACAGGTATTAAATATGCAGCACAGAGAAACAGGAATAGTGTAATATTATTATATCGTTTGAAAGAAATCTTGGTCATTATTTATAAAGGATACTGAGAACTTCTAAAACTAAACCAAGATAAAGGGACCTGTAACAGTCTCATAAATTACATAGAATAGACCAGTGGTGGTGAACCTATGGCACGTGTGCCACAGTGGGCATGCAGAGCCCTCTCTGTTGACACATGAGCCAAGTCGCCCCAGCATCGCCCCAGCAGCCAAGCATCAGATAACAGTGTACACAGGGGCCATGCTCGGAAAGGAGTAGCAGCACCAGGTGATGATGTCACGAGCCACGACTCATTAGCCATGACTCATCAGAGCTTTCGCATGGCCAGTCAGTGCACCGCCAAGGATATATACATATTTGCTTGGACTGGCTGTGAGTTGTTTTTTCTAAACTAAAACCTCTGTATTCAGGTTTTATTGCAGTGTTGGCACTTTGTGAAAAATAAGTAGGTTTTGGGTTGCAGTTTGGGCACTTAGTCTCTAAAAGGTTCGCCATCACTGGAATAGATGCTTTGGTTACATGCTCATGGCATTTCAATGTAATTCATGCAAAAGCATTTAGAATGAATAACTTTGTTGGACTAATAGGGTAAAAGCTCTTAGTTTTAATATCAATGGGTGCTTTGTTTTCTGTATTTGTTAGTAAAAGTCAAATTAAACTGTCAAAGGCATTCAAAACATAAAAGAGAATTTGTATATAAATTTTAAAATATCACACTGATTTCTGTATGCATCATGTTGGTTTTTCTCAGACTTAATATTTATAAGTAATTCACAGTAAGCCTTTCATTCTAGAAATGTTTCAGAATGACAGGATTGTAAGTAATAAAAAAGGGCTTCATTTTTTCTTCTATTACTCTTTATGAAAGCATTACATCTCTCACTATTGATTTTATTAATCTCTCTGTATCACTCCTTGAAATATACTGACAAATGAGTTCTTGTCTTGAGGATTATGAAGAATAATTTTATGAATAAAACATTGAAACTCATGAATAATCTGTTAGAACTAAAATAGTTATTACTGTATTACCTCTAGTAACTTTATAAGCAACCATATGAAAAGGAAACTAGAGTCCACTTCCATACTGTGATTGATTCTTATTAATGTATTTAAAATTATTTATGAATTGCATACACTACTAGAAATTTCTAAACAATACACAAAATACAGTATAAGATAATACTTACGTTCTATATTACTGTATACAGAAGAAAATATTTCTTGGATTAGCTTTTAGAAAGATTGTGTTCAGTAGGCACTGGAAACTAAGAAGGGTTGGTGGCTGTCTAATTTGTAGTCTTAAGGAGTCCCAGAGACAATAACATTAAAGGCTCTGTTCTGAGTCACCATGGAGCAGACGTCTGAAATCTTGGCTACTATCAGAAAGGTATCCTCTGATGCACTCAGTAACCACAAAGGCGGGTTAGCTCTTGGGTCAATTAGTCTTGAGTTGAGCAATTTATAAACAATTACCAAAACCTTAAAATTTGCTGAATAGTATATAGGACTGAAAGAAGCATCTGGGTGAAGTGGCATGAACGTAATGCTATTTATTTTGTAAAGAAAGGTTACTTTTGTACTATTCCTTTTCTTTAGGTTTGACATCCTTTGTTCAGTTGCTATTTCCAGTGAATGTCCATGACATTGTTGAAAAATTGTTGCATTCAGTCTTATCTATATTTTGCTTCTAAGTTTTTACTGATCTAAAAAGTAATCACACATGCTTTTGCAGAACCAGCCAGTGAAGTCTAGGTAGGCCAAGTGCAGTTGAGGCTGTTCAGGACTCCTGTCTTGTTAATTAAATTTGCCTGTTTACAAGTTCTGCCCTTTTATTGTTTCCTATTATACCTAGCAGCAGGATTACAGATGGATTTTTTGTAAATTATTTGAATTTATTTTCTTTATTAGTTCCTGTTCCTACACATTTCTTTGTATATAGCAATGCAATCCTAGTTTGTTATATGAAAAGGAAAAGATATTGAAAATTAATCAGTAATTAAAGTTATTTTCTCTGCCAGAATATGAACTGAAAATAAGTCAGTTTGTGTTAAAACTCTCTCAGAAATTTGCATGCACTTAAGGTCATGCCAAGAATCAAAAAGGCCAAACATTTCCAATTTTTATACTGTGGTGCCTTGAAGTTCAAATGACTCTTAACTTTGAATGATCCAGAGTTCGAATGTTAGGGTCAGGTTAAAACCACTCAATGACTCAAACGATGCTTCTAAGTTCACACTGCAAGCAAAGTGAAAAAATGCTGTTGCAGTGAAAGTGTTATTGGTTGTACACCCAAGTTAAAAAAAATATTACAATAAAAGACACATTGCCATTAATCCCCCTCAAAATACTCCCACT